GGGGGGCAGCAGTAATGGAGAACCTGGCCCGGCCCCTGGGTCCCAGTTGGCCGGTTTCCAGAGGGACCTCAGTGCGCTGAGAAAGCTCACACAGTGCCACAGACAGGCGCAACACAAGGTACGTCTGAGACGAGACCCGTCGGTTATTGTGTGTGAAGGAATCGGCAGAAGTGAACAGTCACTGCAGTTTGGCTGCTGACATCAGAGAGAAACAATTACAGGATGAGACAGAGACGACACCGACGTCTACTGTGTTTCCTGGGGCGGGCGACTTGGGAGGATGAGTCAGTAGATTAATGTTTTTGATGCCTTTGATTATGTTATAAATAATTTAGCCTGTTAAATCTCAAAAACTACATATCACAAGTTAACAGGGTGCAAAGTGATGTCAGCCAAAACACAAATAATTAGTTTATAATGATATAACACTGAAAAGCTGTCAACTGTTCACATTTGTAAAAGATGTAGCAGCTATATGCTGAAAGTGAGAGAAACCTCAATATGTTTCTGGCTCTATAGCCTTAAATATTTTCCTAAAACTCTGCTGTGCTGCCGCGCTGATGATGAGCCTGTAAATCAGCTGGGATCTGCTGATCTTGTTCATGATGATACTATATTTACTGTACCAGCCTTGGAAAATCACTCTTACTAGCTGCAGAAATCTCGCTGCAGTTGAACATATCATCAGTCACACTTGTAAGATTTACAGGAGAAGTCATAACTGTAGCCAGAGGGTCTTTAAGAACTGCTGCGTTCACGGCGTTCTGTGATCATTTGTTATGTTTTGACGAGTGCGAGTCTCCGAAGAACCACATGAACTTCATCATTATCATTATATTAGATTCTGCTGCGAGACGGCCGACTGAGGGACGTTCACTCTTGGTGCTTTGAGGCGCTTTGCGTGAAAGGCTCCACTGAAGGCGGATTATTTCCTGTATATAACCCTGGTAGCAAATGTGCAGTGAAATGAAGTGAGGGCTCGGTGTTTTCCTGCTCCCGCGTCTCCCAGGAAAACAGTCGCTGTGGCTCTGATGTGTTTTTCTTTTCCCCGCAGGTGTTTCTTCATGAGACCACAGTGAGGCTGATGGCGGGAGCCAGTCCCACGAGGACACACCAGCTGCTGGAGCACAACCTCCGACGCAGGACACACAGCTCCTACACAGCTGGTAAAGAAGACACCAACTCATACTTACACACTGATTAATAAAATACAGACCTCACTGTTCAAGTTCACCTTGACTGCTGGCTCAGGATCAGCTCCCCTTTGGTTTTTCTTAATCTAAATTATTAATGGTGAACTTGAAAAAGTGACAAACAGCCGTAGAGAGAAACGTGACCCTGTATTCACACACGAAAACACACAAAGAATCCAGGAAGCAACAGACACTAATCTGCTCTTTTCCTCCTCCCCCCCCCCTCCCCCTGCTGCTGCTGTCAGAAGGTGAGTGTGTCGTGGGCGAGAGGGAGAGAGCTCATGCCATCCTGCTGGCGTGCCGCCACCTGCCCATGCCGCTGTTAACCCCGCCCGGGCACCGGGCACGCCTGCTGGCCGAGGCCAAGCGTACCCTGGAGCGGGTGGGAGACCGCCGGTCCCTGCAGGACTGTCAGCAGATTTTGCTGCGCCTCAGTGGAGGCACAACCATCGCAGCCTCCTGAACACACACAGACACACACACACACACACACACACACACACACTCACACACAGTGCGAGAACAAACACACAGATTAGGGCTACTCGCAATACTCTGAAAAAATTAACTGATTTTCCACAATACTTATAAGATGTGAACCACACTCATTCACCAACAACGTTTAATTCTGTAACTGTCGCCTGTTCACGCCCTCGTACTGATCCAGGGCCGTGAATATGGACTTTAATCCAAACCGGCACACGCCTCACACACACGCCTGATTTTAACTGTCACAGCTACATCTAACTCTCAGCCCTGTATCCACACCGCAGCTGAACACATGAAGGCTACACGTTTTGATGCTTAGTTGCATTGTTGCAGCACAATCATGCCCCCTACTGGCCATTAATGTACCATGCTGGCTAACTGCCTTGTTTTAAACAATGCTAAACAACAAGGAAAATCAGGTTAAATAGGCCCCAAAGGGAAAAGGGACCATTATCTCCTAACTGTTTAAATTAATGCAATGCAGCAGTGCATTGATTAGATGTAGGATGCCAAGCTGTACAATCATTTTCAGTGCACAGTAATATGAGTGCTACAATAACCGTGTAATGTCTTGATAAACTTGCGAGCTTCAACTAAGGGCTTTAGGGTATTCAAGAGTAGACAGCCGAGATCTGTTGAGCACGGCTGTTCTGTAAGATGCAGACAGAGAGTAGCGCGCTTTTAACTGTACAGTGCAGAGTAGTGTCTCTCCTTATCTACCTCATACGCTGTACAATGCCAGCATTGTACTGTGGAGCAAAATAGGATACTTAAGCACCATGTCAGTTATCCCGAATTCGAATCAAGTGACCGTTTGAAGTGATGCTTCGATCCAGTGCGGCGTCATTCTGATGAAACTTCCTGAGCTGCTTCAGTTAGACTTCAGGATACAGCAGCGCGGCACTGAAGGAATTTGACTTTATGCCGCAAGAATGACAGACAGCTACTGCTGACATGTTCCTCACTATTAAGACACAGGGAAAAAATTATTGGATAGGCGGAACATCTAAATAGCAGAGGGAAGCAATCAATCATGGGCCGATAAGAAAATGCCCACCGACACACACACACACACACACACACATTCACACACTCATATATGCTACTGGTCAAAAGTTTTCGAACACCTCAGTTTTTCCAGCTGTTATTTAAATTTACATGAATCATTGTTTCTGAAATGAAAGCGAAGAACAAGGAATCGGCTCGTTGAAACTAAAATTAATGAGAAATTTTGAGTCATCCAGCGGCCGAACGCACTCGTGACGTTCTTCCTACAGTGGAAAGTTCATCCCAACGCTGAAGCAGAAGATCCAACGAACGTGTAGCAGTTGTAGTTTATCTTGCCTGGAAACCTGGAAGAATGGGGCTGTTGTAAAACCTTTGACCGGTAGTGTACATATTAAATTAATTACACATGAACTCACAATGTGGTTGTATATAGGTTGTACATAGGCAGATAAACAGAAGTAGAATAAGCAGCAAGTTCTTACCTACGGTTTGAGAGAAGACACCCGTAAAGGAAAGCACTGTAAGACATGTAAAATGTGGCTCGTAGCGGTCAGACTCTGACCAGGAGAGCAAAGTCAGCTGAATGTGTTATTCCGCCCGAAAAATCCTTTTACCGTCAAACACTCACCTGCTGTAACCTTGCAAGGTGGTCACTGATGGAGAACGGCAGCTTGAATTCATGATGGACTCGGCTGTCCAACTGTGAAATCTGCCTTTCAAGCTCACAGGCAGTGAGTGAATGATGCTCAAAGGGTTTTGGGTGGTGTTTCACCTTGTGGTGTCAAATTTCAGTGAAGATTGTGAGAAATGTGAGAAATAGTATTTCTTGGAAGCGATGTCCACATATAATGTAAAGCTCTCAAGCGAAATGGCCTTGATGTTATGTAAAAAAAAAAAAAAGAAAAAAAAAAAGATTATGTTTCATCATATTTGGATTGATGGAGTTTTAGCTTTGTGAAATCTTTGTCCACTTTGCTTTTTATCCTGTCAGTCCTGTTTTCTGTGCTCCGATTATCTTATTTAATGGTCATGTAATATTAATATAAATGCGTTTTTTTGGGTGGGAAGGGAGCAGTTTTGCAATTCTATCATTGTTTTATGTTTGTAAAAGCAGCCTAGGGTCAGAAACTGTCAGAGGGAGAATCTCTAATAGGAAAATGTTGTGTGTTTTATTGGTGAAGAAAAGCCCACATTTAAACAAGTAGCATGATATTCTAGGATAACTCTTGTCTTTGGTACATGCTGCAATTTCTTTGTTGTTTGAAACACACTTATGCTATTAGAAATTTCCAGAACTCTGTCTTCCAGGTCAACTTAAGCTGTCACAATAAGTAATGTAAGGAGTCCTGAAAATACTTATGTATATTTAGATATAGCTTTCCTGACTGGTAAGGGTGTGCAAAGCAACGCTCAACCAGCCACTGGCAGGCTGGAGTTTTTGCTATCAAAATTATGTTATTTGCCTCTTCCCCTTGATGTATTTTATTGTCTGAATTTTGTTCATTTTGATGTTTGTTTTATAATAAAACAACACATGATAGTGGTTGGTATGTATGTTCTTTCAGTTGTAAAAGTATCACACTGTTTGCGGATGTGTCATTTGAGAAGTACAAATATAAGCACTGACACGGGAGAAAAAAAAAAAAAGAGCACCACATTTCACGTTTCATCTGAACGTGAGTGTCGGCCGGGTGTGAATGCCAGTGTGAAGCTGATAACAACCGTTGTGTGAAGGTTTGTGGCTTCCTCTTTCACACACTCTCTGTTTAACACAGTGAACACTGTACACCTCCGTCTAAATGAGACACTCCCAGTGATTCACAGAGAGAGATGGCAGGCCTGGATCCATAAGGAGTCCCTGCCCCTGGAGGGAGTTGCAGTCTGCTGCAGGAAACAGCTGATCACCATAAAGGTGTCAGAGAGGTCAGGGCAGTGCAAAATTACAAAATAAGAAAATATAAAATAAATTACCTAAGTGAAGGAGACTAGAGTAGTGGGAGTCATTATATCATGATGGATGGAAGTACAGACTATGTAATCTAATTTTACATTCTCATAAATATACGAGAAGACTTGTTATTAAACACATCATGCTTTCAACCCTTATGCTGTTTCAGACAATGTGCAGTTTAAATTTAAATAAGCAGCAACAGCAGCACCTCATAAAATATTTTTATATAAGCTGAGACGTGATTACAGTCACTGTTCAACCTGAAGATATATGTTCATTATGTTGTCCTAAAACATTTAGGTGGGTTGCGTATTTGTTTCTAGCCGGACAAAGTTAACCGACGCGCTCCGTAGAAAGAGAAGCCGGAAGTAGCGACAGAGTAAACTCACGTGCACAACATGAAAAACACAAAAAAGCACAACAATGGGTCCAAAAAGGGGAAATTCAAGCCAGGGTCGAAGAAAAGAGAAAACAAATGCATCGTAATGTTTGACGACAAAGAGAGAAAGTAAGTTTATCTCTTGACAACGGCCTTTTAACATATAGCAGCCGTTAGCTAGCACCTTAGCATTAGCTGTCACCGTTCTGTTCCACTAGCAGGTTAGCATTAGCTTTCTATCAAGTAGTTTTGTTATTTTGAAAACATTATCCGCAACCTGTATTATGTGTAGTTGGTAGTTTTTTATGTGTGGATTGTAGTCAACTCAAACCATGTAAGTGCGGATATTTTAAAATACCATTAGGTTTAACAGTTTATAGTTAAGTTTTACTAGGTTTTTCTTTAAACTTTGAAGCTTTTAGGTGATGTTCTCTATCCATTCATTTGTAACTACTGTTAAATTCTTGATTTGTCATTATTTTAGTAATTTACTATATAATATAAACCTTAAAAACCCTTATTGTAAGCTATAGGTTTCACTGAAACAATAAACATACCAAGCAAAGTTTGATTTAATTAGTATTTCCATTATATATATCCTGTATTATTAACCTGCAGACGCTTTTAAAAGGTGACTGGTTTCTTAAGTTTCTTCCTTTTGTCATCCGTCAGTGATTACCTTACCGGTTTCCATAAGAGAAAGGTGGAGAGGAGGAAAGCTGCAGTGGCAGAAATTCGTAAGAAAATCAAGGATGAGCAAATTAGAGTCCGAGAAGAGGTAAGTGTAAAGCAAAAGAGCAGGGAGTTCAAATCTGAACTGTGTGAGCACGTAAGGAAAGAATGCACTGATATTATGTTTGGCTCTCTCCTTCCAGAGGCATAAGGAATATATGAAGATGTTGCAGGAGAGGACGGAAGCTCTTGGTGAGTTAAAAGCAAAAGTCAGTCTTGGTCATTTTATCAATTAGAAGCCCATGAGAATTTGCATTGATTGTTTGTTTTGGTTTTTTTTCCTCACCTGATTCCCTCTGTCAGAGGACTGTGAAGAAGACGATCTGGAAGATGCGATAACCAGTACGACAGAGTCTGTACAGTTCGATCACCCCAACCACACTGTCACCGTGACAACCATCAGTGATCTTGACCTCACTGGGGCTCACCTGCTTGGACCTGCAGCAAACCAGGTGAACCGTCAAGCCGCAGTGTGCGCTCTTGATCTGTCTAAATGTCGGCTTTACTGCTTGTAGCTCTGCGTCATCACTCTGAAGGAAATCAATAAATTATACTGACGGAAATAAAAATGACATTAACACGTAGAACCTTTGCTTTGAAGGATAATGGGGAGAACAAGGATGAAGACAAGAAGGAGGAAGAGGTGGAGAAAACAACTCCGATGCCAAGAAAAGCCGGCAACCCAATCGTGAACAAAAAGTAAGCTGCTCGTCGTGCACGTCGCCACGTATTAGCATCAAGAAGCGTGGCTAGTTTTCCTTATAATCAATTGAATAATTGTTGTCACATTGACATGTTATAATCTAAATGTTGGATTAAGTAATTTCAAAGAATGCAGAGATGCACACACACTCTGATTGGTGAGAAATGTGCTGGTGGCGACAGATGTTTCTTAAATTTGTCTGCCTGTCATCTTCCAGCCCCTCTCACTCCAGCTTTGTTTTTCTCTCTCTCTCTCTCTCTCTCTCTCTCTCTCTCTCTCTCTCTCTTCTCACCCCCCTGCTGCTGCAGGATCCGCTCCCTGATGGCCTCGCTCAACACTTACACCAGCAAGGGGAAGAGGAAAGGGAAGCAGGAAGGCCGGAGAGGACGAGGCCGTTCGACAGACAAGAGACCCGGTGTCACAGAGATGAAAAAGAGAACCGGTAGGACCAGCAAGTGGCAGAGACGTCGACAGACTGGAAAGAGGGTGCACCATCAGGACTGAGAGAGTGTGTCTAAAAATACGATGTAAGATCTGGACTGGGAAGAGACTCGACCTCTTGTGTCAGGTTTACGCTCCTGTGTTTGAGCGGGACAAGTGTGTGCTGAAAAGTTTGCAGAAATGGACACAGGACGATGTGGACGCTCAGTGTCTGCACCACGTTGGACCGTCTGTTCCTTCAATACTTCCACAGTACCTGCCACTGGAAATCTTCTGCTCAAACTTGTAAATTTTTCAAAGCAAACCTGTTTTTGTAGTGTTATTTCATAAAATAAACTTCACTATATTTACTGAATTATGGATTGAATGACGGATGAATGTTGCTAATAAGACATCTGATGTTGCAGTCATATGTCACACACTGTCAGTGTGCTCTGTGTGGAATTTTGTCCCCCTCTGCTCTATTGTTTGATAGGAAACCTGACGCTGTCGTCAACATCCTCTCTAGAACATGAGGAAATCAACCCTCAGCTCTGTGTTTCCTCACAGCCCAGTGTTACCTGTGTGTGTGATCTAAAGGAGAACCAACCACTGCTTCTCTAAGAGCATCTTACTCACTGTTCACACGAAGAACCTAAAACCACACAGCCACCGCTTTTAATGTATGTTAAACTGCCCCCCCACCCCCTCCACCCCCACCTCACCAGTGTTTATTTATTTACGTTAACCTGAGCCAGCGTGTGCCAGCTGTCACTAGCATGAGCGTTTCACTTTGCTTTCTAAAGCCCATGATATTTAATACAACCGCTCAATAGAGGAACCGGCAGGCCACTGGCTCCATGTTGGCTCGAGGTGTGTGTGCGCTGCAGGGTCTCTGCTGTGTCAACCGAGAGCCACCATGGCCGTCGTGGATGCTTCAGTTTCACTCATTGTCAGAGCAGCCAATCGGATTGATGTGAGAGTTTGGCAGCTCGGGAGCGCAGAGAGCATGGGGAAGAGGAGGCATGTGCCTGATGGGGCTTTGGTGGGCAGTTTATCCTCGGACTCCTTATGACAGATTCTAAATTGAGCTGACAGCGGGAGCTTCTCTCGTCAGGTAATACTCATCAGTTGTCACTTCGTTATAAGATGTTGTTGCTATTTTCACTGTCCTACTTTTCTCTGTCTTAATGGGCTCATTCACCTTTTCCTCCATCGTTGCTGCCTTGTCTTGTGGCTGGCGGTGACGCTCCTCTGTGAGCAGCTTTCACACTGTTCTGACTGGACTGTGTTTCACTATCCTCCAGTTGTGATTAGTTATCAGCGGCCTTAACAGTTCCTCTTTAGATCTCGCATGAACCGTGAAATGAAAGAACTTCCTGAGGATTCACTGTGAGCTGCTGCTCTGTGCTTACACCTGTCTGCAGCGATGCAGTGTCACAGCCGCACTCAGCAGCTGTAGGATTTTATTCATCTTTTTAATGATTAAAAACAAGACTGTTGCACATCTTCATTGTTCTTTTGTCACCGAACACTGTGAAAGATGCTCGGCAGGTTTTTGAACACAAGTCATTGGAACAGTTTTCCATTTACTGATAGAAGTGTTTGTTTTACACTATAAATCGTTGTGATGCCGCTCTTCCTCTGTTGCTGTTTCTCAGTTTCACCTGCGGGATGTAATGAGCCGGCAGGTCCCCCCTCCGGACCCACCATGCCGCTCTCCGGCGATGAGCCCATCTGCCCCAAGTTCCAGCCCAACATCTTCGACCCCTCCCGCTGCCATGACTGCCTGCGCCAGAGGCGCCTGCACGCCGGCGCAGGGGAGAGCACGGAGATCGCACCGCAGCAGAAATCCACAGCAGACACTGGAACTGGGGGTATAACCGGGACCGGGAACGGGATCGGCGCAGGCAAAGGAGGGTTGTTAACACCAATCCCATCCACGGCAGAGGAAAGAGACACCAGCAGCAGCAAGGTAAGAAAGAAGAGAAGCCAGAGAGGAAGAGGGAGGAGGGAGATGTACAGAGCAGCTAGGTAACGGTGAAGAGATGGGTACAAGAGCAGAATATGTGCTGAGTGACGGGATTAGCTCGACATGCAGAGAGGCAGGAAGAGAGCATTAGAGGTCACGGGGGAAGTCAGCAAGAAAGCAATACACTGGGGTTGGATGAGACTCAATGAGACTCTGCTGTAGTGCTCGACTCAGTTTTATCTCTGTCTTCCAGATCAGAAATGATGTATAAAGTTGAAAATAATCTGTTTAATTACATCTTTTTTCTCACAAAACTTCTCACTTCTTACCCAAAAGTCTGTGTTTGAGTGAGTAAGACATCATAAGGCGCCTCCTAATTTGATGTAAGTTACAGTTACTGGGATCATGTTTTTGTTGCCTGTGAGTGAATTGAGGAAAAGTCAGAGAGGGAGAATGAGAGGTAACGATCAGGAGCAGGGCGACAGCAGTGGCTCCCATTATAAATTAACGAAGCCGGATCGTTTACCGGCCTCTCGGGAATCACCTTGAAATTTTAGAAAATGTACAGTAATGTGCAGAAAGGACGGGCGTGTTCACAGTGGTAAAACTGTGACAGCTCCACATTTATCTGTTTACCCTGCTTCCGTGACATGATTGCAGTTGTCTGGTGGCAGTAATGCATCTGAAAACATGGTGGATAGTGGGATCGTTGTATTGAAGTAACACCGTACCTACACTTTCCTGAAAGCAGCAGAGATCAGTGGCAGTTACTGACATTCACAGACACATTTTACATCTTTTTACACCAGTGTATTTGAGGAGAAGGGGTTTTTATGGCAAAGAAAAAAAAAAAGTTGATGAAATATGAATGAGGAAAGCCACGGGCCAGGTCAGGTTACAGAGAGTGTAACCCTAATCGAACAGCAGACTGAACATGTGAGTGTGTGTGTGTGTGTGTGTGTGTGTGTGTGTGTGTGTGTGTGTGTGTGTGTGTGTGTGTGTGTCAGAGAGGACAGAGGGGACGGACACCGTTCACTTTACTCTGAGAGACGGAGCCGGACGGACTCATGTAGGACTGTTATGTGCACGTCACTGTGTGTTTTCTATATGTTGAGTTTCGGAGGCGCGGTCGCTGTCGGGAGCGTCGCCGCTGCGTCTTCCTGAGATGGGGCTCGCTGCGACGCTGTGATTGGCCCGTGTCTTTACCTTGTCATCCTATCAGGAGGATTCTGACGGTCTGTCGACGGTGAGCAGCTACTGTGACGTCACCGGAGGCGGTCTAGGTTATGGGGAGAGCTCTCTGTGCATCCTGAGCCCCGACTGTGAGCTTTACATCTGTGACGGTGACGACGACAGCACTGACAGGTGGGGGGACTGCAGGGTGATAGTAAGTCCTTTAGGCTTATTGTAGATGTGTAATTTTTAGTGTTTTATCGGGCCAGAGTGTCATTACAATGTTTAATCATTTAAAAACACTGGCAGGCTTGAGTCAGCATCCTCTCAGACCCAAAACTGTCATGTTGTGTGATGCATTTGCGAAGTTTCTCTCTGAGTCTTCCCTCTCTTTGTGTCTTTGTGTCTTTGGCTCTTCACTCTCTCAATCTTTCACCTCTCCATCTCTGCCCCTCGTCATTTCTTCTCCCGTCTCCTCTTCCGCGTAGCTGCCGTGACCAGAGCGTCGACTACCAGGAGTTCAGCGGCTCCGTCAGCGCAGAGGACGAATACCCGCCGATCCGTCGCCGTACGGCCGACCTCGCCATGACCCGGCTCGACCCTCCGCCCCACCGGGCCAACCCTCGGGCGTGGATGGACGAAGCTCGCAGCAGAGACGGCTTCGCCAGGCGGTCAGGTACATGAACGCTGACCTCATATATTGTTTAATTCATTTCAGGAGAAGTGTGGGGAAGAGAGGGAGATCTACTCTCTCTCTCTCTCTCTCTCTCTCTCTGAAGGAACCAGTAAGAATAAGCCTTTAGTAAACCTATGACTTACTGCACTTGACAAATCCATATCCAGTTACAGCCAAAGGTGTTCTTTACTTGGCGATACTGTTTGATGTCACCAGCTGAGGTGTCCCAGACCAATTATCAGTAATACAATATATCTGGGTTTGTGTCAGGAAGCCTCTGGTAGTTGCTCAGCACTTGATCTTTGATGTTTGTTTCTCTTATTTCTGTTTTCCCTCCTTCTTTCTATTTCTGTCACACTGCCCCGACTCCCTTTGTTTTTTCCTCCAGGGATAAAAGAAGACAGAGAGAAACGTGAAAGTGGTTACTTCTCCCTGGGGAGGGCAGCCGGCGCCCGTTCGCTCCGCGATAACAGCCCGTCTGTTCCTTTCCGCCATTTTGAGAGAGGGCATCCCCTCTTCAGCGGCAGAAATGTGGAGCCCAAAGACGCCGTCCCCTTCAGAAACCCTAATCTCGGTGTGGCCTCTGACAGGCAGATACCGGAGAATCTAAATGAGGATCTCCCTGTTGAAATCCCTCCTCCTGACCCCTATGAAATTGCCATAGAGGTTGAGGCGCGAGTCGGCCCTCGTTCTCCGAGTCCTACCCCTTTTAAGATAGCGGAGTCGCTGGCCTCGCCCGGCCGAAAGGGCCTCGGCAGTTCATACGGCCGGGGAAACCCTTCGTCTCACGGTTCTTCCTATCAACGATCGGGGCGTTTCGATTCCTCGAGGCAAAGCTCGGCTCTGCAATCTCGCTCTCCTTCTCCCTCACGTGGAAATTTACCGTTCAGACGCAGCGAATCCGCTGCCTCCCTCAGCAGGCGTAACTTTGACGGTGGAGGGTGGTCTCACAGGACGGAGCCGGGATCCAGAAGCTGCTTGCAAAGCACACATGCCCGACGTGTTGAGTCAGGAACTCTGCCAAGAAACTTCAAATCGTTCGCTGGTTCAGTCAAATCTCAGTCCAGCACCGTTTCTGACTTCAGGAGTGCCCTGAGGAAAACGGAGGTGAATGGGTCTTTGAGTGGTCGGGGTCATGACGGCAGAAGCTCGTCTCCCTCCAGGAGGGACTATAACCCTCCAGGCCAAGTGTCTCTCCGCAAGACTGAAACCGCAGGCAGGTCACCACACGGACGTGGACGTGACGGTCGTACCTCGTCTCCATCTCGGAGAACTTCAGAGAGTCGGCCTCACAGTCGCAGTTCCTCGCCGCCACGGAGGAATTACAGCTCGTCCAGCCAATCCCTCCTGCGTAAATCTGAATCCATCGTGTCTCTGAACGGACGGAGTCACAACGGACGCTGCGGCTCGCCCATCAGAGAGGGATATGATGTTGAAAGCCAGGCTCTGCTGCGAAACTCAACAGCGAGGAATGGACTGAATGATCAGGAACGTGACCGTGACCGTGCCACCACGTCTCCACCCAGACGAGGTCATGACACACCGCGTCAGTCCATACTCCGAAAGACCGAATCGGGTGCTGCCGGCAGCGGGCGAGGTCGTGACAGCCGCTGCTCCTCCCCTGGAAGAAGAGGCTGTGAAACCCCTGGTCCGTATCAACTTAGGAAAACAGACACCAGCGGTTCATTAAACAGCCGTAACTCCTCGCCCTCGAGGAGAAGCTACGAGGCTCCTTCTCAGTCTCTGCTTCGCAAGTCTGAAGGAAACAGCTCCGTCAGAGGTCGTGACCTCCACGGCTCGTTGCCTTCAAGGAGAAGCTATGATGTTCCTGACCAACGCTCACTGAGGAGAACAGACACCAGCGGCTCTCTACACAGCAAGAGACACAACAGCTGCAACTCTTCTCCCTCTGGAAAAGGCAACTGTGACCCACCGGCTTACTCAGTCCTCAGAAATGCCTCTAATGGAGACTCCAGCCGCTCCGCTCAGAGAAAAAACACCGACAACGACTCAAAATCTGACTCCAAACACTCACCACACTCCTGGTGGGAATCGGCTCATTCCCTTCGCAGCTCTTCATTATCTCGCGCCGCTTCACCCTCCAGACGGACCACAGATGGCAGCAGAACAGCTTTCGTCTCCTTAGAGGCACCCAGGAGCCCCGGCAGCATCAGATCTGGGGTCAGCAGGCACGTTCTTGGGGATCGCTGCCCCTCTCCTAATGACAAAAGGCCCTCCCACCGCACGCGCAGCCCTTCTCCTGCACCTCAGATTCAAATCCGGAGGCACACCTCCTCCCAGAGCTCCATGGAGTCCTCCGAGTCGGGCCAGCTGTCAGCGGGGTCCACGGGAAGGAACAGGGAGGAGTACGCTGCGATGGCCAACCTGCCGAAGGTGAAAATGATCCATCAGAGGGAGGACCCGGGCCACGCGGGGCGGCCTCAGAACCAGCAGCCCTCTCGCAGACAGGAACTCTTCAAACCGGCCAGGTCAGACTTATATTCAACCGCAAAGAAGCACCGGTGCTGGCAAAACGAAAAACACTACGTTACATGAAATTTTCATGGTGTAGACCTTATGCTAAATCTAGACGGCTTAACTTCCTCCGCACCATCAGATTACATAAATTTAACCATAAAGTGTCTGTGCTGTTCCAGCCACTCCTTGAGCAAACATCCTTCCAGAGAGTGGGAAGATACGATGGATACGGAAAGAGAATGGCACTATAGTGGCAGTGGGTATCTCTCTCGGGCTCACTCTTCCACCTCATTGCAGGTAGGCTGGTTTGGGGCACGGGAAACATTTATTAATCTGAGTTTTTCTTTTTTTTTCTTTTCTTGATTTCTCAGAGTAACCTTTAAAATAAATTAACACATGATTTACATTTAGTAAAAAGAGAAGATGCTTCTTCTTTTTACTTCCAGTAAGGTTAATAAAAAGCTTTGTTGGATTGGATCTGAAAGCACAGAGAGACATGAACGGGAACAGAGAGAATGGCATGAAAGGCTTTAAATCCATACAGAAGTATGTGCCCCCCCCCCCCTGTACAATATAATCCATTGCAGCAGAACGAACTGTGGTTTGTGCTCTGTGATTTTCACCTGTCTGATGTGTTAATGCTTAACCGCATCTTCCACATACCGTACACCAAGATGTGAGAAAGTGTGTGGATGTGAAACTCATAGGCAGGTTTCTATATTGGCTCATTAGGACATTGATTATCTCCATAACCACGAGCTGTTCCTTCTCCTCCAGAGGTCCGGCAGTCCCACGGCAGATGAGGGCAGTTCTTGGAAAGGTAATCACCACAGATCAGAGCAAATGCAGGTATGTGCTGCAGCAGGTACATTTACAGTACATGTGTGTGTGTCTCTTACCATATGAATGTGTGTGCTCACGTGGAGACAGCCTCTCTCCCACAGTTGATTTTTTTTTCCCCCCTCTTATCACTAGTGTTTGCAGTGAACGTCATAAACCTTCAGCACATATGGTTCAATGCTAGTTTATCGCAGTTTGGTCCATTTCAATATACGCTGTCTTTCTGTTACATATTTACCAGATTACTGCCTGCAGTTTGTCTGGTGTTCACACAGATTCTGTCATTGTAAAGTTTTTTTATGTACGTGGCATCCTAACCTGCTGGCATATCTAAAGATATATATATATATATATATATGTATATATGTGTGTACACTGTGCGGCTTTTTAAATTCTCTGCTTGCTGTGTGTCTTGTAGACTTCACCTACACCCTGCAGGCATTTCATAAGACTGACTGAGCTTTGTCAATTGTGGTCTGCTGGGGCATGTGTTGAAATTCCTGAACTGAAACCAATAGCTACCAAGAGAGGATTTTGAAGGGGGGAAGTGCCACTTTGTATGCAAACCCAAAAGATATTCAGTCGGGGAAAAAATATAGCCAATAAATTCTGTTCTGTGTGTTTGTAAAGTAGGGGATAACTAAACTTTAATATGTCATTGAGAGTACTGGTCCCAGGAAAAAGGGAAGGAGTGACACCTCATGTTAGTTAAACTTTTTCTTTTCTTCTTCTTTTGATAATCTAATGTAGTTGCAATTAATCAGGACTAAGATATTCCACATGTGGCAGGCCACTTTATCCCGTTCAGCCTCCCCCGGAGGTGCCCGGACACCAGTTTCCGAGCCAGCACCGTGCGGTTAGGCTGGGCTTAGGTAGGCTTGTTTTCTCCAGCAACGAACCCCGCGGATCCGCCCAGGAAGTGGCAGACACGGGGCAGAGCGAGCGAGCGATAGAGAGCGAGCGGAGACACAGCCAAGTCACACGTAACGTTAGCTTCCCACGACTTGTCAGAAAGTTGAGAAACTATTAACTTTTTAAAAGTCCAGCTTGTTTGTCCATGTTTGTTCGGGTGAATTCTCTCCCTCCCCCCCTTTAAAAGACAGGACAGAAATCTGCTCTGACCGTTGGCGGTTCGCTCGATGAAATTAACACGGGGTTTGAATGGCGGGGTTCTATTTAATTTCGCGTAACGCCAGCGCTCTGCGGAAAAGTAACGTCTGTGCACGAGACGTTTAACCGAAGCTGGGGAGTTAAGTTTTGAGAGGTTTTTGTTCGCGTGAGGTAACGGTACTTTTTTTGTTTGTTTGTTGTTGTCGTCTTTATTTCACCCTCTCCGGATCCTGTTATCATGACGGTAAGTTCAGTTGCACCTTGAAAGCAGTTTGTTTTTCCTGTCTTGTCACTTCTTCCTGAATTTAACATTTTTTCAAATGAACTCTGGCCTATGTGCCATCTATCCGTGTGTCTCAGTTGAGATTTAATGCTTTGCTTTTAAGAAAGGTTCGTGTTGATTATAAAGCCTGGTTTTTTTTTTCTCAATGGACTCCTTTAGTCAACGTTTGTTTGATTGGAGGGGTGTGTACGTTAAATGCTTCCAACTTAGCGCTAGCTTAAAGCTGAAATATTTGTGTTGTGTTGTTTATATGTCCTTGTTTACAGCTAAGTTAAGATTCGTACATTTCTGTTCCTGTGACAAATCTAAATAACAAACAAACAACAACAAAAAAAAGAAACAAATCCTAGTTTCCATTTGTGGTGTGGTTTGATGTGTCGATCCTGTGTTGTTTGCAGTAGCAGTGTTATTAGCAGGTAGCTTGTATGTGTCAGCTGTTAAAGCCAGCTGTGACACATGTTCATGTTTACACACACACAGACAATGTTTTGATAAAATAACCTGGAGGTATTTGGCTCTGTAAACCATTGTTATTCAGGAACTATCATCACAATGAGTGTATCATTGGGTGTACTCCTATTCACATTGTTCAGAGGGCTAATCTGTTTAACTAAACAGAGACAAGCCAAGAGGAGAAGCAAACATACTGTAATAGGCCTAAAGGACAAGGCTAAGCTCACCAGACAAGGCTCCTCTGTACTGATAGGAGTCAGGCAGAGTGGACGTTGTCTCCAGTGGTTGCCAGTGTTTGACCTTCGTTCTTCTGTCTTGGACCTTTTGAAGCAAGGTCACTGATCTGAGAGCACAGGACAAGGAGGAGCACTGTTGCACTAGGGTTATTCATAGCAGATGCTTTCTATTTTTTTTTTTTGTCTCTGTGTCCACCCTTTGGCCCATCCCTGACCCTGCTTATAGACATGTATTGACTAGATAGCATTAATTTATGATGATTTATCGATGACACATTGTGATGTGCTCCAGCAGTTCTTTCCCATTCACACACACACACAGTTTGGGTATAGAAGAAAGAGGGCATAAAACACAGTCACTGGTGATTAATCTTTGTAATCTCCTTTAAGCTACAAAATGTGCAACGGCCTCTTAAACAAGTTTCCTTTTGTACTTAAAGCAACACCTGATGATCCAGCCATTAGTTGTGATTATCCACATTATTTATTAATGTTGAAAGCAGATTTAAAAGGAACATAGGGCTTATAAAATGTAGTAATGCATCTGTATCTTGGTCCGTAAATGGTGTTGCCCAACACATTATTTCCTTTACAGTCTATTGGCAGTCGCCAGACTTTAAAATTTGTTAGATTAAAGAAGATCAGTGGCATAGATGAGCTGACTTACACAGAGAAAAACAGGGTGGTGCTGTGGCTTACAAGAGCACAACTCAAGCCAGGAAGGGAGTATAAATACAGAATAGGGGCGGTTAGAGCTGACAGAACAGACTTAGAAACTATATTAGAGTCCAGACAAAGAGGGAGAAGAACAAAATGATGTAGAAAGCTGATGAAATGAACAAGACGCAGTTGCATCAGAGAGGAAAAAAAATAAGTGATGGGATTGAGACACCACTGGGAGATGAGATGAAAAATGCAATGAGAGATTTAAAAAGTGAGGAATGTACATGCTAGTGAAAGAGAGATAAGCAAAGTCAGGAATGTATGTAGGAAAAAGTTGCCTAATCTTAATATGGGATCACCACATCTTGAGGTACCTAGTGCATGTTTTCCTCTTCCTGTCATCGTGTCAAAAGCAGAAACAGGCCTGTTCCTGGAAATGGTGCACAGCAGCTTAAGCATGTTTTCATGTAATGTCTACTACCACACAGCTGCAGCAACAGACATGCAAAATATTTCATCATGTGCAACAGAGTTGAGTTATGAACAGAAGAGTAGACACCGGTGTTTCCACTGCAAATCTCTTGAGTTTCTAAATCTTTCCTCCCTTCACTGAGGATGTGCTGCTCCAAGTCCTAATCTTTCTGCCTGTGTTGTCTTCAGATATTTATTTTTTTCCTCATCCTTTTACACTTACGCTTGTTTCCTGTCATATTTCACACCGCATGTGCATCTGTCTTTGCAGCCATTGGCCTTTTCTCATGTATCTGGCATGCTGCAGTGCAACAGGGCAGCACCCTGTTTTGAAACATATTGTTGAGATACTGCATTAACCACATTGGGCTTTGTTGAACGATCACATCATATGATATTATCATCATGTTGAATATTAAGTGCTAAAACTGAATTAAAGCATTAGATAATATCATAATCTAAAGGTATTACATTTAGTGGTACCAATACTGACTTAACCAGTTTTATCATGCATTTTAAGAAAGCAAGTTTCTCCACAATAGCAACTGGTTTATGTCCTTTGTGGCAAAACAAGCCAGACAAAACAAGCCAGCAGCATTTACAGTGAATGTAAGCGAGAGGTGGTGTGGTTGCTGCTGATTTCTTGTTTAGAGATGTAACTATATTGTGTGCGCCGCACCCTTCCATGCGGGCTTGTATAATGCTTTGTCCTCTTGTTTCATTTGTTACATCTAGTCTCATCTATTCCTTTTCTTTTTCCCTTTGAGACTTGCTTCTGATAAATGGCTCTACAGAGTAACGACCTTGATATACACAGACAAGAATTGTGTCCTTCAGGTTTTGTGAGTTTCTGTCAAAGGTTGACGTGAAGGTCAGTGAACGTGACGCTGTATACTCTCTTTCTTTCTCTTCGCAGCCCGACCTCCTGAACTTCAAAAAGGGATGGATGTCCAAACTGGACGACTGCGGAGAGGTAAAGAGCAATAAAGCCGAGTGTCATACTCCAGTCAGAAGTAACATCCTCCTCTCCTTCCATCTTCACTACCCTCCTCCTTCATTCCCTCCTTCCTAATGAGAAAGGTTGTGTGTAAGGCGATAGCGGTAGATTATCCTGGTTATCACAGTAATAGCTCGGTGGCTTGAGGCACAACAGGTGTCTCCTCTCTTTGAATGACATGCTTGAGTGAATTAGCTTCTGGCTTCACACATCACATACTGGAAGTCTTCAGTTTTACTCGAGGCCTTCCTGTGTCCCCGCCCTGTCAGACCAGCCTTATTCTAATAATAATGAAATGTCAACGCAACTCTGGTTACATTCTCAGATATTTTCACTGTATTGTTTTGATAGCTTTCATAGTGAAGTTGCTGATCCCAGTTCAGTCTTGGATTGATTGATATCTTGTGTGTTTAGTGGAAGAAGCATTGGTTTGTTCTGACGGATGCTGGACTGAAGTACTACAGAGACTCCAGTGCAGAGGAGGTATATTTTTTTAAATTACACGTTCCTTTTTTTATAATATCCTAAAATAGTATTTATGAAACACAAGCTTGCATGAGCGTCCCAAGCATAAACAAGCATATTGAATCATCAGGTTGTGAACGTATCATTGTGTCCTCTGTGCAGAAAGATGATATGGACGGGGAGATTGACCTAAAATCCTGCGTGAAGGTGTCTGAGTTTGATGTGGAGAAGAACTACGGCTTTCAGATCCAGGCGAGTATCTCGGTCACGTGTTAGACTCTTTCAGAGACTGTGCATGTGACGGATTTTCTTCCATTATTCCTCCCTTTTTGTCTCCACCGAACACACCCACTTCCAGTGTCTGCCTCATTTTTTTGTTGCTGCGTTATCATGACTCACATCTCTGTCAGTATCTCCGCCACCTTTCTCTGTTTATCTCTCCCTTTCCGTTTTCCTTTATCAGCTCATATGTCATCCTAGTTCTGTCACATCTCTGTGTCTCCCTAACCTAATTCCTCTTCTGTTCTTCAGACGCGAGAGGCTGTATTCACACTGTCTGCCATGACGGCTGGAATCAGGCGGAACTGGATAGAGGTTTTAAAGAAGTGTATCCGGCCCAGCAGCTCTCCAGACCTCACACAGTAATTACCAGTTGAATTGTTGAATATAAAAGCTTGAACATGGAAGCAGCTTTAGTGTGGGGCATTTGAGATTTGAGAGGCTAAAATTAAGAAACATAGTTAGTAAACGAAAGTGCTAGTTTATTGACAGAAGTGACGTTATTACATATTGATAGCTGATTAATTACCATGTTAAAATTAACACTTTCTTCTCCCACCTTAATATAGCGAAGAGGTTACTTAGTTTTCTCTATTTCACTCAAATCAATGTTAAAACCAGCAGTGTCTGTGGAGGCTGTGTGCTTTATTCTATGAGTTATTTTTGAAGTGCTTGCTCACACTCTGTGTTTTACCACTGGTTGCCTTAGCGTTGTTTCAAATTGCTGCAGGTCAGCCTTGGATAAATACAGTCAGATAAGAGGCTGTGTCACTCTCATGCACCAGTAACTTTGTTCCAGTTTTAGTTGCTATATACTCTGGCAGATTCAGATGAATCAAAGTCCCATTAATAGCTTTGAGTGTCAGTATAAAGTATGTTTTCATAATGACTCAATGCCAGCTGTGCCTCGAGTGTCCAGGCTTTGTTTGCAGTTGCTTATGATATCAACCCTCATGAATTTGCAGTTGATCAGTTACTTCTTTCATGGATTTAAAGTAGAATTTACAAGGTTATCTGAAAGTAGAAATGTGAAATCATGCCTTGATTTAAAAAAAATTTTTTTTAAAGGTTCCATATTTTACACTTTAGCAGGGTTTTATTTGAAGTTTTGATATCTATAATGAGATGGATTTGTGGTTTTAAGTGCCATAAGTTTTACAAGTCTCCTCTCTCAGGCTTCTCTTTGGAGCTCTGGCAAGCTCTGAGCCTCTCTTCTGATTGGCTGACTGTTTTCTAAAAAGATTTCACATAAACACTCAGTGAACTAAAATCCTGCACGGTTGGATGGCGGGTCCTGGTGGGCGGGGCTTAGGGCATGGCTGACGGTCTTGACTGCTTTGTTGTGACATCACAAAGTCCAGAAGTCTAAACGGCTGGTTTTTACGGCTCAGTTTCTGAATACAGGCTGTGTGCATTTCTCTGTGGACTGAGGCTTTGATACTTTCACAGTATTAATATAGAACCTAGACCTGATCTATAATCAAATAAGACATGGAAATTTGACTTTATGCAATATGGGACCTTTAATTATTATTTTTACTTAGATTACTTTGATTTAAAATGTATTTATTCATCTCTATTTTTCCTCATTTTCTCTAGATTACCTGACAGCAGCAGTGACAAGGAAAACTCCCACTCACGCTTTCTGCTGTCTTCACGTCGCCCGTCATCACGTCACAGCGACGTTCAGTCAGAAGTTCCGACCTCCGCCCTTTCAACTCAGCGTAGGTTTGACTACGTCGAGCTGTCCCCTGTTCCCGCCTCCTCCGGTCCTCTCCCAGCCAGTCAGAGAGAAGCAGGAGAGGGGCAGGGGAGGGAGCACATCCAGTGGCAGGAGGAGAGGAACACGAGCAGCCAGTGGGAGGCTGTGCTGTCCAGGAAGGGCACTGGCATAGGATCGAACCAAAGGCTTCGCATGGAGGATGAAATAGAGAAAAAGTGGGCCGAGTTTGAACGCATGCCGTTAAAGGAGATGGGCTCTTTACCATCAGTGGGATCACGGTCCTCCAGCCAGTCAGCCAATGAGGCGCTGCAGAGGGAGGTAGTGCGTGAAGATGATTTTCCAATTTGCAAATTAAATAAAATGCAAATTAACCTTTCATCTGTCCGGATGAAGTAAACATTTTCCGTTTCTGCTTTTTAACACCTGAGTCACTCTTTAACTGACTCGCTCCTGTTCTTCAGCAGTGTTTTCCATTTGAAGTATTACACAGTGGAAAATCAGAAGTAGAAATTGACATGGGGGATACTGCTGAAACTTCTGTCTGTTCTGTCTCTGTGTGATGTGATCTCTTAGTTTGAATCTGTTTGTGGACTCTGGCACTAAGGCTGTGTACACATGACATCACCATGATGCTCGGCGAAGACCTCTGCTGATGTGTTATCATACAGTTCATATGATTCATAAACGGCTGTTACATTCATGATAAAGAGAAGCCCAGAAACCCAGACATGTCCTGTGTGTTTACGCTTCTTCTTTAGCTAGAATCTGATTAGACAGGCTTTCAAAGGTCAGCTGTGAAGGGGGTTAAAGGTCATACAGCTTGAACTTTGAGCACACTAGCAAACACAAGGGTGGCAGCGGAGCAAACGCCGGCATCATCGGCCTGTCCTCGAGCTGGTGGTTCCTCCAGTGATTGTGTGTAGATGTTGGCAGTGGGACTCTGCGGCAGATTCACTGATTTAGTGAAAATGTTCAGTTTATTTGGTGTGTAAATTATTCCTGCTAGGTTTGGTCAAGCACAATGTTTGTACCTCATAGTTTATAATCCCAAAAACTCCCGTTTGTTCATATCCTAACGCTGACTGCTCATGTCTTCCACTGCCAACAGCAGCTTTTGTGCCGTCTCATGTAAACATGCTAATCACATAATAAATTGATTTCCGGATTCTGTCCACCACCTCTGTCGCTCAGTGGGCTTTACCTCCACCCTTGTTTTTTCTCAGGTGGCGTCACTGAGGCAGCAGTTGGAGGAGCTACAACGAGGGGGAAGAGGAGGAGGAGGAGTAGGAGGGAGAGGTGTGCGGGGCGGCTGTGGCCCTGAGGCCCCCTGCGGCCGCAGCCTGGCAGCCATGGAGCGCGCTCACCGACATGCGTTGGAGGAGCTGCAGAGGCAGCACGACCGCCAGATCAAGGAGCTGGAGGCGGAGAAGGACAGGCTGCTGCTGGAGGAGACGCAGGACACGGCGCGAGGTCAGCAGAACCGAACAGACAAAGACCAGGATCACAGTTGTCTTATACAACTGTTACAGCACACCTTTTTACTTTTACTGAGCCGTTAAATGGCTGGTCATTGAGGAGGTTATGTGATGAAGTAGGTTGGGGTTAAAGGTCAAACAGAGTTCACTGTTCACTCTAAGCACTATAGGAATCAGGTCTTATCATTGCCATTGGGTTATCTTTAGTGTCTAACTACACTATGAGCAAAACGTATAAAAAGCATCACCCTCTCTCCACTCTCGAATACCTGTGAATTATATAATGTCATAAATCTTTGAATATGCATAATATGTTGTTAATACACTTCTTTTAAGTTGACTGTCATATTTAGGCATAAGCATTTAATGCAATGTTAATGTTAAAAAAGTCTCCCTGAGCTCCCCCAGTCAGAAAGTCTCGAGGTGCTGCTATCAAGAGCTCCCTTAGAAGTTGTGTCTGTGTTTGTGCTTCAGTGATGGAGGCTTTGAAGAAGAAACACAAAGAGGAGCTGGAGAGAGAGTTGGAGAAAGCGAAGAGGCTAAGCAGTGGGGTGCTAGACTCGCAGACCTTGCGAGCCCAACAACAGTAAGTAACGTCTCATCCTGTGATGGAGATGTTCACTGGCCACCCACAAACATGTGGACTCCGGAAACACAAGCAGCCAGTTTTTATGTCTGTTAGCACGACACAGAATCCATCAAGAAACATTATTAAACTGAAATAAAGAGCTTGCACCCTAACCCTGTGAAAGCCTTTAGTGCATATTTCCTTGGAAATAAATTCTTGGTCGTAGCCTGGCCCTCATTCTGCAACAGTGCAGGCCAACATTGGTAATTTATGTGAATAGCTCTCTTGTGCTTTTAAGTGGGAGCTAGCTGACCGCAAAAGGGTTTTCTGTGAAATAAAAAGGTAGAATTTGCAGACTCTACAACAATCCAGGGTTCCTTGTCTAAGCAAGGCCATTACCGCGGCGGCCACTGGGTCCTGTCAGGCACTTAAGGAATGTAGAAGAATTTGGTCATGGATTAGTTTTCTTTTGTAAGCTTCACAAGGCCTTTGACACAACGCTGTCTCAGAGGCTGCTACTGGAACCTGCATTTTAGGGCTTATCTGTGCTGCCTACGCTGCGTTTCTTTTGCTATTTGCATGCTCTTCCTTATTTTTGTGGTTATTGGTCATGAGCAGTAAAGTTGTTTTGAAACCACAGTAGAAAATACTTTCCTCATGAAAGTGGAAAAAAACACTCATACTTTCTCACAGCATGTTGCTGTTATTTAATGCATTACATACAATCTAATATTATTCTTTACTGTAGAAATGCACAGTGAGCATTTAATAGGAAGATTTCTTGTGAGGTTAGTTTTGTGCATGTACAGTATAAGAAATGGTGATCTCAGTGGAGCAGCGCTGTCACAGTTCTGCATGATCTCTATATTGATTTCTACAACAGTTTTATGTGGTGTTGGTCTGTTTCCGCAGGGCAGAAACTCAGTCCTTGCAGAGAGAGCTGGCTGGACTGTCTGAGCGCTATTCTCAGAAGTGTCTGGAGCTGAACCGAGCCGAGCAGAACAACGCAGAGAGAGAGAGAGAGATCAGCCGCAAGGAGAGAGATATGGAGCAGCTGAGGAAGGAGAACCAGGTGAGTTATCAGCAGATTGTAAAAACGTACTCAGAGCAGCGGGACAGGTGATGGAGCAGTCTTTTTATGTTTTAGTTGAAGTGAAGGATTGTTCTGCTTGATGTTGCACTGGCAGGTATAACTCTTAAATACAACATGACATTTTTACCGGCTGTGTAACTATAAATAAACTATTACATTTTGAAAGGCATGGTCCCAAATGTCTGAGCCATGACTGTAATTAGGCCTCACATCAGTGTTATTCACTATCCAGGCTCAAAATAAGTAGGCTGATCTCTGGCTATGTAAGAATTGTGGTCTTACATAGCCAGAGTTCATTGTCTGCAAGATTTAAGCCACTCAAAGGGCGTCATTCAAAATGATAAAAACAAAACATTTTCCTCTGCAGGACCTAAAGGCCCGTTGGATGGAGGAGATCGGCCGTATACGATCTACCATCACAGATCAGGGCTCAGGGGACAACAAAGACAGGACGCCCTGCGAACTAGAGGTAAAGGTGCTTATACTGTAGACTCTAAAGTGACAGCAGATGGGGGGGGGTCCGATATAATAGATATAAGTCAACAACAGTCACTGTGGTCATCCAATTCTTGAGGAGTTGTCTGAAAATGTTGATTTTAATCTAAAATCAGTGACTTTGTTTTAGTTTTACGTATCACAAAGCTGCACAGGTTTACCACCTTTTAAAGAAAGTGTGTAGTTACTGGATTTAGTGAAGGTTTTGCTTAATGACACTTCATCAGGGAGAGGTACAGCATGTCTGCTGTCCTGACAAATGACACTGACATGTCACCTAACATATAATAAAACAAAACCTTAATTAGCAAAAACGTTGCATTTAATTTATGGTATTTCTGGTTACCAAACTTGTGTTGCAGTTTTCAAAATACAAGTGGAATGTCAATTGGCCAGAAGCCCAAGTTATGTGCAGTAAAAATTACAGAGAAACACTGTTTATCATAAATCAACCAGAGCACAATTACTGTGCGTTCTTGTTGGACTCGAGAGATAAATATAACGGTGATTTAGGGTGATGAAAATATGTTCTGTGTGTTGTTTTTTTGGCAGTAAAAGAAAACCACAGTTTTGTTTTTCTCCCAGGTTCTTCTCAGGGTGAAAGAAAAAGAGATCGAGTACTTACACAAGGAGATCAGCTGTCTGAGGAATGAACTGCAGGTTCTGAACACGGTATTGTGTGTTGATCTTTTGTACAAATATGTGGGGTTTCTGCGTGAACTCTACACTAGTAGGTGAATAATGTGGAATGTTAATCCTCAGATCTTGCTTAAATGTCGTATAGCTGGAAAGATCCCAGGATAAATCTATATAGTTGGCGTAGGTGGTCAGTAAACATGATTTATCTCATTTTAGACAGAAAGAATACATGTTTTCTTCATAGTTGATGTGATGTCATGCTAAGATAGTACTACGGCTGGCTGATGTAGACTGAGGAGCTTAAGCCTGTCTATCTCTCTTTGCTCTGCAGGAGAAACGGCTGGCCTGTGAGCGATATACAGAGGCGCATGAGGAGCTGAGTGGGATGAAGGGCCGGAGCGAGCGAGAGATCCAGAGTCTGAAGGAGCACTTGAGGCTGGCCATGGCTGCTCTGCAGGAGGGGCAAAAGCTGGGCAACAGCCTGGACCACTGAGAACCTGCTGCTGGTACTGACGCGCTGGCGGACACAGTGACAGGTGTGGACTGATGTAGTACAGGCAGGGAAACGGTATGCAGCGTCACACTAATGCAGCCGATGTCAGTGCCCCTGTGGAGATTCTGTGAGGCAGTGTATTTGTTCAAATTTGTACTTGCTCGTATTTTTTTTTTAAAAATCTCCTAATCTGTGCATCTTCTTTGTGTTCCAGACGTGTCTGCACTGTGGTGACTGAATCAAAGAGACACAGGAGGAGCAGAGGAGATGATTGTTGGACTTGTACAGTTCCAGCTGTGTGGGGACCATGATAGTGCCTTAGTTTTCAATCGTTCTGCCAATGAGCAGGTTAGAGTAGCTATTAGCTGGTTTCATTACACTGGGCCACACATGATATATAAAACTGCACTTTTTTTTCCCCCAGTCTCACTTTCTTTTTCTTTTTTTTTTTTGTGAGTGCAAGCGTGAATGAGTGCGCATTTGGTCTTAAAACTGGAATATTTGTTGAGTGACGTTTTCTTTTCTTTTTTTTTTTTATCAGGTATTATAGATAAACAGTTCATGCTGTATCAGCTTTTTTTGTTGGATAAACTTCTCAATGCCACTGTGTCTTCTGCCTGAGAGCAGGAGTTAACGCAGTTACAGCAGAGCTACTGTCATCTCAGTTTTCTGTTATACAGCTTTTGAGTCATGTTTACTCTGTGAAAATGGCACACATTTCTTTAGAAATGGAAGCTTATCATTTGATGTAATTATTTTTCTACCTAGTAATATTCTTTCTTGTATTGTGCTTGCAAATATGAAATTAAAAAAAAATGGGATTAATACAGGACAAGACAGCAAATGTTTCTAATTCCTGGTGACCTTAATTGCAAGTTGATCTAATTGTATAGAAGCATATTCAAGGTCAGCTTTCTTTGGGGATGCTTGCAAAAGCTGTTGAATGAACGTTATCCCACGTCACAGATGTCTTTATTTTTAAACCATGTCTGAGAAGCACGCTTCCAGTCTGCCCTGATCATTATTGGCATTTATTTGCCACCACCACAACAAAATGACAGGTGTTGCATCAATGAGCCAATTTTTTATTGACAGTATGTATTGTGATAAAATGACTTATCTACCTGCCTTTTGGAAACTTTTTTCATATTTAATGTACTGAAGAGGCTGTATCATCTTTGTAAATTATACACATTTTTGCAATCAATAAAAAGAAAAGAAAAACTTATGGTGTGTAATTTCACTGGTACACTTATGATTTCACATGTTGTTCTTTGTATCTTTAAAGAAATAGACTATTGCCCCACAAAGTAACAATCTATTCAGCGATTACTCATTGCAGTTTCAGGAATATATGAAAAGTATTAATGTACTGTAACCTAGAAATGTTCAGTTCTCGTCAAGACTTTAGTTGTTTGTGTTTTTGCTCAACTGATTTGATGTGTAGTGTATTTAAAAAATACAGAAAATTATTTTATTATTTATTTTTAAAGGAAGAAAAATATAAGAAACACCTCAAAGTAAAATGCTGTTCAGTTCAAAAACAACAATTACTTTGCTGTTGAATGTCTGTTATCTAAAAGGAAAAGTTTGTACCTGTTACTCCTGATTGACCGTCTCCTGTCTTGAATCAACCTTCCCGCTAGGTGGCACCACTGTGCTCGTCAACATAATTACACCACCGAGTAAGTGAAACCGGAAACGCTGTAACGGCTACAGTCATGGCGGCCACGGCGGCGACCCGAACGGCAGCTGCTGCCTCCAAAGTTGTCAAACCAATTTTTAGCCGGGACCTGGACGAAGCCAAGCGCAGGGTCCGGGAGCTGTACCGAGCCTGGTACCGAGAGGTCCCGAACACAGGTATGTCGCTCTGTTGTGGCGGGTAAATAGGTGTATTAAAGAAAGCAGTGCGAGCGTCAAGGTCGTGTCTACGTTGAGGTTCAACATAACGACTAACGTTAGCTGCTAGCAAACAGCAAGCTAAACATAACAACACATTTTGCAGACGCTCTCTGCTCCACAGAGTTTAATATAAACGTTAATATTGTTATTTAAACTAAATGAATGACGAGAAACAAATAAACTGCGAGCGTGTGTACCTTGAAATATGTACTCCTGCAAATATGTATTCCGTCTCCAAAAAACGTTGTCCCGTGTTACACTTGCATTTTGCATGAAGATTTATTCTGATATTAGTCCGTAAGTGTTGGAAAAGACCATTTACTTTTACTGCTGTCGATGCTAATCAGTTGTTCTGTGTTGATTGTGGTGTCATGGTTAAAGTTTTGGGATGTAAACGTGTCTCTTCCTAGTTGAGTCTTTCTATCTTCATAAATAGATTGTATGTTTACATTGAGCTGTGTTTTAGATTACAGGTTAACGGTAATGATATTCTGTGTTTTTATATTCTCAACAAATCAGTAATTAAGTACCAAAACCAACAATTAATTTATCAAACAGTGTATGTGCAGCCTGATACAACCTTCCTCATTTTAAATTGCACTGGGTGAGAGTTTAGTTTTGGTCTTTTCATGGGTTTTGCTGAGTAATGTATAGAATAAGACCAGCCTTGTCCTTTTTTTTTTTTTTAGGATAAAAGCAAATTAAATATTAATAATTAAAGATGAGTTCCTGGGTGGATACTTTTTCACTCTCGTATTTCTTCCTCTCCAGTTTCTACATTTCAGCTGGACATCACAACACGTCAGGGAAGAGACAAAGTGAGGGAGATGTTCGACAGAAACAAGCATGTCACCGACCCCCGTGTGATTGACATGTTGGTCATTAAGGTAAAAACAGCCTTGCTCTAATCTGTGAACTACGTTGACCATCATTTTAACTCGCTTACCGAACTGAAAGGCTGCCCGGTCCCTCTCATCAGTTGAATGAATGTAGAAGTATGTCGTTCCTTAGAGCAACAGCATGCTGTTTCCTCCCAGGTGTACTTAAATGTTGTTTGTGTTTATTTAACCTCCAGGGTAAAATGGAACTCCAGGAAACGATCCACGTCTGGAAGCAGAAGACCCACGTAATGCGCTACTTCCATGAGACTGAGGAACCTCGTCCCACTGACTTCCTGTCCAAATTCTACCGGGGTCACGACCCTTGAACTGTGTAGCTGTCTGCTGATCTCTGACCCCACTTTGCTTGTGTCCAGTGTAACAGATGTTCCCCTTTACTGTAAATATACACTTAACAATCACACGCCTAAAGTTGTCTTTTATTTGCAATCAAAGCTCTATCAGAATTAATTTAAAGAGACAGTTTAACAGAAAACATGTTTCGTAACGGACAGCGCTGTGAACAGTTTCAATGAAGCTTTTCACAACGTCGGTCATTTGGAGAGTTTAAATGAACCGTCCCTTTAAAGATAGAAGTAAGAGCTGTTGGTCTAGTATTTTATGTAGGTAAATCCTGTACTGAAGGTAGGCAGCACCTCTAAGTTGGTATTTATTCAGTTTATTCTTTAGATTATATTTTGATTGGTGTTTCATTCAAAGCAGATTTCAGGACAGACTCATCTCATAAACAATGACTACTAATGTTGTCATCATAGTTTGTTACATTCAGGTATCACATGTATGACAGATGCTATCAACTTCTACCGGCATTTTACAATTGTCAATCCCGTTTATTAAGACTTAAAGTAGTGCATGCAAATACAGTGCACTACGAACGGCCTGGAACAGCCCTGTCGTAGTGTCAGTAACAGCAAAAACCCTGAATCCAGTGCAGACAGAAGCGACTTAAGACGACAGCAGAGAAAGGCATTAATCTGCTCGGAGGCTCACAGACCTCTCCCGGAGGTGGTGACAAAACAGGATGATCTGTGGAGGACAGAAAAAGTTTTTAAGTGTGACTGGTAACTTATGTAAAAAAAATAAATAAATAAATAAAAAATCATCTCATGCAACTCTTCAACTCCAAAAACGGACACAACTGACTGACTGCAGTCTGTTCATCAACAGCCTCAAAAACCACAAAACAAAGCACACAAGGACATTACAATGAATTCTTCCCCTCTCTACTGGTGCATTTGAGTCATCAATGTGGGGACAATGGTTACGGTAAGTACATAATTTTGTGAATAATAATGATGTTTACCATTCTGGTTTGATGTGTGAATCCAAGAGGAAAACCTTATGTTTCCCAATGTCTCCCACAAATGTTGCCCATGCACCAAATAGACTGGGAAAGAGTGTGTGTGTGTGTGTGTGTGTGTGTGTGTGTGTGTGTGTGTGTGTGTGTGTGTGTGTGTGTGTGCTCTNTTGAGTCATCAATGTGGGGACAATGGTTACGGTAAGTACATAATTTTGTGAATAATAATGATGTTTACCATTCTGGTTTGATGTGTGAATCCAAGAGGAAAACCTTATGTTTCCCAATGTCTCCCACAAATGTTGCCCATGCACCAAATAGACTGGGAAAGAGTGTGTGTGTGTGTGTGTGTGTGTGTGTGTGTGTGTACGCGCTTTGACACAATTCACAGTGAAGCTCACAACCCAAAGCCAGTGATACCTGATAACCAGGAAGTATACAGACCCTTCAGTCGTCATCGTCATCGTCCTCGGGGACAAAGATGTCGTGCTCCTCCAGCAGCGCAGCAAAGTTCTTGCTGATCAGAGTCCCCACATACAAGAAGGGCACCACTACCAGAGCAATCCGGATTAGGCCGAAGGGGGTCTGCTCCCCAGTGTCACACATCCCACCATAGAAACAACTAAGTTAGTTCAAGTCAAGCAGCTTGTCCAAGGATGACTTCTACTAAATCTGCGAGAGAGACTGCAATAGATAGAAGATATACACACACCCCCATGGATTTATTATTCCACTGTGCTTCTACTCATGGGTCTATTCCTTCAGGGTGAACCCTCCCTCCTCCTCCCCCTCTCTCTCTCTCCCCTGTGTGTCTATTTCCAACCGAGCTGTTATCCACTCACCACACCTCGAGCCCTCAAATCAACACTCACCTTCTTGGGTTTGGGCAGAATGCCACCGGATGATGTGCACACAGCTGTCCGGCACGGAGTCACCGCTCTGCCCGGTCCGCCGGAGGGAGAGGTGCGGGCGTTTCTGAGGGCCGACAGCCTGGCCAGGCGACCGAGCGCCGACGCCATGCTCACAGCTGTAGATGCGGCAGCAATGCGGAAAACCGGGAGAGGTAATTTCGGACGTGGAGGAGCAACAGCGCCTCCCTGCGCCACTGTAACGACACACCACTCTCACTTTCTAATAATCATCCTCACGGGCAGGTTATTTCTGCACTATTTCAGCAACTACAATAAGTTGAGACAGTGGGGGGGTGGAAATGAACGACACAGGTAAAGAGCTGGTTTCCAAACTTTCTCTTGCAATATGTGAAGTTGCAGTTTACATTGAATTGCCATAACCCTTAGCAGCCACATATTCAGAGAAAATAAAACAGTGGTTGATTATATTACATACAAAATCAGACAGAAAATCCAACGAGAATTCAAAACGTTAAAGCAAACCAATAAATACTGTACAGCATTAAATATTTACAGACTCCCTATACACCTTAACTTGGTGAGGAGCAGAAAGAACACTATTAGTGGCTATTTCGTGATGAAATGCATGTGACTGAGGGATGACACCACGTGAATACACTGGCCTTGGAAGAGTTATATAAGTGATGCATACTGTAAACACATTTAAATGTTCTTTCACCCTCACTGTCAGTAATAAACTATAAAGTATGAAGTTATTCCTTTGCCATCCAAGTCCACAGAATCAATATCATTCAATTTAAATTTTTACACACTTCCCCATATGCAAGTTAAATAATTTAAATAAAGTTCATTGTACAAACACAATATAAACCAAAACAACCAAAACAATACAAATAAAATCCCTACCTACAAATGAGCAAAGAAATCTCTCAAGTAACAGAAGTTAAATTTGTACTTAGTGAATAAAACAAGATGTAAACAGCCTCAAATGAACTCTTAGTGTGTCCTTAGTGCAGAACCGTCCACAGCTTACATCCCTTTCATCCTCGCTCGAGCGCCTCGTACCGCTTCGTGTGACACAGCGCCGACAGGAGCAGTGGCGCCTCGTCACTAAACAAAGAAACACAGTTAAGATTTGCCTGTCGTCGACTGTTGTTATCGAGCGTCGGATAAATCTACCTGTGTCTTCCTCACCTGATGTTTGAAGGACAGACGCCTGAAGAACTTGTTGACCTCGAACACGCCAGGTTTGATGGGAGCCCCGGTCTTGTTGCCTTCCCCCAGTCTCACGATTTGTCCCTTGGTGATAGCGGCTCTGAGGCTCATGCTCTTGACTATCCGAGCGCTGGGCTCCGAGTCAGTTGTGGGCCGGGAGGATACGGTGATGTAGGAGGCGTCCTTCTGATGTTCCTCATAACTCACTGCCGGGGAGGAAGCGGGAGAAAATAGAAAAGTAGGAGGTTTTTTTAATGCTTTATTCTACTTTTCAACACAGCTTGGTGACCAGACCTGGTGGTGACTTTTACCTGCAGAGGTGACTGCGGTGTCTGTGGTACTAGTGAGCTCCAGCAGGATTGTGGGATATGCGGAGTGCAGCAGGAAGAGCTTTCTGATGAGCGGCTCTGCTGCAGCAACACCTGGTGCCACCTGTGCAGCCAGTACATAGGTTGAGTATTTCATTTACGGCTCCAGTTCAAACTCAAAGACAAAACAGTGAAATCAGCTGTGAACACGATTCATACAGAACAGTGCTCTTCCTGTTTTAAATATATATATATACGTATACAATATTCATTGAGCATAACTGATTTTGCCTCAATTATCCTCTGGTTCTCTTGCGGCAGACTCACGGTTGTCTTGGTAGCATTCCTCTGTGCATTGATTGGTTCGCTGGCCCAAAAGAGGAAAGCTGATTGGCCGGTCGAGGTGGAAATTGCAGAAGTTTGCAAAACGAGACGAGGGCACACAAACTCCGCTGACCAGAGGAGGTGCCCGTTTGCCCCATCAATGACCTGCGCCTGACAGACGGAGAAGAGGGCAAAAACACGACAATTACAGCAAACGCAGAGGCCAGGTAAAAATGTCCCAGCAGGGCTTTAATTCCTGTAACAACTCAATATTGGCAAAAGAAAATCAAAAGAGACGTTTAACCAGGACTTTGTGAAGCATATGAGCCTCTGTATTAATATGAGCTTTTTGTTTATGTTTTACCTCCATGATGCCGTTTGCTGAATGCTGGAAGAAAAGGTCAAGGATGCCGTCATCATTGTAGTGTCCCAGGGCTGGTTGGCTATGACAGGAAAAGAAATAAACTCAGCAAAATTCTGATATATATATATATATATATATATATACTGTAGAACCCATTTTGTGACCTGCAGTTAATAAGCTTAAATAACATGTAATGTGATGTAATGTGCAGGGCTTCACCTGTGGATGGGAGCTGAGCTGAAGGTCCATTTTTTACGCATGTCCCTCTGTTTGAGCACCGACAGTTTGCTGGAGCCATACACCACCACCCAGTCGCTCCTGGTGGAGTTCAGGTTAGAAACGGTGTCCAGGCTGTTGTGGTTGTTGCCAAAACCAGCCACAAGAGGGAGCAGGAAGTCCACACGCTCAGATCCTCTAGACACATGATGGAGAGACTGGGATTTAGTTCAGTTCAGTTTCACAATTCCTGTTTAACTCCAATGCAATGCAGTCACCTGTAAACGTGTATGAAGGAGGATGAATTGGTTTTCTTCTGTTCCTCCCACCCTGGATCTCTAATTTTAAGTGCCTGAGTTACGGGCATTTTGCCAGTGGCGCGAACGTAAATGTCACGCAGAGAGATGGCCTCCACGTTACCTGAGGGAAACAGACATTAACTCAAAGTCTAGTAAAAAAAAACACAGTGTAATTAAACTGAATTAATTTGATTGCATTGTTGTTCCTTTACCGAGTCCAAAGAGGATGTAATAAGCCCCTTTCGGTGTCTCATGCAGCAGAGGACCGATCAGCTTTCCCTGTCCAGTGAGGTTGAAGGGAACGGGACGTCCCAGCTGCGTCCCCGACAGGCCGGAGATCAGCGTCAGGGACAGATCCAAGGCCTGGAAGTGAATACGGGACTGTGACTGTTACACCGAAGAGACTGAAACAACTGCACAGCTTCGTTTATCTGGCGGAGATGTCAGAGTTGTTTCTGTTTCATGCTGTGTGATAAGAGAATGAGTGAAATCCATCTATTTCAATCTATTCATTTCAACTTTTGCACTTCAGAGTCTTTCATTAAGAGTTTGAGATTAACAGCAATGAGCAACTAGTGATGAGGTTTTCCTTCTGATGCCTCCTCCATGTCGACTCTGTTCGACTGCCACAAGGAAACTTTAAGCTAGAAACGTTTTGATATCTCTGTGTCAGTTATCTTCAGTTTCAGACCCTCAGTCGGTTTGTGGCGCGGTGAGTGTCGCCGCAAGATTTGAGGAGCCAGTCAGGATTGATCAACTCCGGAAATGTCATCGGCCGACAGTTCCTCATGACAGCTCTCGACTTCCTGATGAGTCAATTAAAGTCTGAAGTTGATGGTTGATGTTCTGAGCGTTTTACAACAAGCAGAACGGAGCACAAACTTTTGCACATGCCACAAGTACTGATTCATTTTTTTCCCCCTCTTTGTTTCAAGTTCATGAAAAGATAACAGTACATTACCTAACATCTGTTTACCGCAGATGTTGTATTACAACAGAATATGTCACTTTCCCCCCCGGAGCCCAAACGTTTGTGTACAACTTACCTCATCTGCAGGCAGGGTGGCAATGAGCAGATCTGGGACTGAGTCGCCCTCGAGGTCTGGGAGTAACACCGCCTGGGATTCAATATTCTTCAGCTGGACTGACGTCAAGTTCTTCCCTGGGGAGTGACAGGAAACCTCTTTGACCTCGTTTACACTTATTGACCTGATTTTTATAAGCCAAGACAGCTGACACTTCTGATTTTCGCTCTCTGGTCTCGCTGGGGAATCTTTGCTAAAAACATCTACATTTAGTTTATTACATATGAACAAATCCCTCACAATAACCCAACAACAGATTCAGAGCCAGCACAAAACGTTTTATAGGAGTTGTTAGTAATTATCCTTTGATTAATAATGGCTGTTCTCTCCACATGAAAAAGACAAACAACCTTGTAGTCTAACCTGAGGTGCCATTGACTACTATGAGGATGGATTTGCTGATGAGGAGACACAGAGGTGACAGCTGGGAGCTGTACCTCAGACCACACTGGATGTACATCACGGGCTCCCCCATGGCTTTCCTCCACAGCTCCCGCCCGCTGACCGCAGACAGCGCCACGGCACTGTAAACTGGGACGAAGAAAACATCATCACACCGAGGAAACACGCAAAAATTCAATAAGTGAGAAAAACAAGGAACAAGAGGATGAGATATTAAAACTGATTCCGGTTTAAATGAGTTAGCAGGATTAGATTACGGACATAGTTAAGCAGTAGCTGTGGTGCTCGTGGCGCTAAGATCCTATCTGATGTAAAAAAAAAAAATGCCCCCAATTATTGAATGAACTCTCTGAATCTACGGGGCAGAAAACATCGGCCACGCCTCTTCACAGAATTCCTGCCATACTTTTGTTCCTCTGCGTGGGATGAGTGTCATTGGTCCATTCGGTGACACCGAGAAACACGTCCTCCACCGAATCACCGTTAACGTCCCACAACGCCAGCGCGGGTGGAGTCACACCTGCGCCGAGAAAAACCAAAAACGACATGAACACCCACCCAACCAGGGGAAGGTTAGAGGTGCAGGGTTGTGTCTTAATGGGAGAAAATGCATCACATGACATGAAAAAATAAAGCATGCTGAAAACAAAGCACGTGGTGGGTGGAGTGAGCCTCACACTCCTGTGTAATTACAGTTGACTAATTAAAGGGTGAAGCAGCGTCGTCTCGCCAAAGAGTCTCAAAAAATGGGTGTGCCACTCTAATAAATATAACAATAATAATGATAATAATAATAAAATTGTTGAACATTGTTCCTTTTACCTCCTGCATCTCCCAGAGCTTTCTCCCACTGCGGCCTCTTCCCCAGCTCTCCCTTCTGGCAGGGGATCAGGAATGCACATAGCAGCACGAGCAATGTGGCACAGACCAGAGGCACCAAGAAAAACGCACTCCGGACGGCGTTCTTCATCCTCATCCTCTTCTCTTCCGCATCACTACTGTGGACCCCCAGCCCGGCACCTCCCATCGGACCGCCTCCCCCTCTGTCCTCCCCCGCCCTGTCCCTGCCCGAGTCCCTTTGGCTCCAGTACTGCGTGCTTTTCATGTCGTCTCTGTCCTGCCTGGATTTGCTGGGGAGTCGCTCTCTCCATTCGTCCTCCTCTTCCTCCTCGTCCTCCTGTGCCTCGTCTTTGGCCCCTACGAGTCTTCCGGACCTGCCTCCCCGCAGCTTTGAGGACCCCGGGCCGAGGCAGCTGTCCCTGCCAAGGCCATTTCGGGGGTAGTTGAGCACGAGATCGTCCTCTTCACTCTCGTCCTCGCTGTCTGCTTGGGTGAGAGGGTCGTACTCCCCAAGCTCCGAGCCCTTCTTCCCTGCAGAGACACAGAAGGTGGTGGTGAGGGTCAGGTGTCTTGTGTGGTCGCTGTGTGGTCACTTAGTTAGGTATATGGGACAAGTGATGATTGCACTGTGATACACTGCTGATATATTACTGATATACAATTACTAATGGCAAAGCTGGAGCATTATAGATCCTTCCTTTAGTCTGGATACTTAGCAATAACAGCTGTTAAGTGTCTTAATGTCCAATAATGCACTTTATTCAAGTGCTGTCCATTCATTTTCATTTTCATCATTTTTTTACACTGACAAATTCTTGTAATTACAGCACTGACACAGAGTATTTAATATATATATTCATATATTGGCAAATTAAACTATAAACTGGACAATATACTGTGGTTGACCTTATCAAAGAGGGGAATAATAAGAATAAAGTCATTGTTTTATAATCTTATTTTTATTATTACATCTATAACATCTTTATAACACCACTACTACTACTAATTATGATAATAACTGTTCAAATAAAGCAACAAATAAACAAATATAGAAGCCTGCTCATAATGAGACTGATCAAAATATAGCAAAACATACAGTATTAAGAATAATTGCTACTACAAATACTATTATAATAACTATATATTTAATATTTTCCCGCTGTCAGATGTAATATTTATTATTGTGCCTTAGTTGTTTACTGTGCAGCAGTTTGGTTGTGCTAGGGTTAATATTAGCAGCTAGCTAGCTGGCAGCGCACAGCAGACACGCTTTGACAGAAAGACGTCAGCGTGCCGCTTTGCTTTCACTGAAAACAGTATCCATCTTATGTAACATGCTTTGGAAAACATGCTCATTAACGGTGCGGGGTGATGTGGAGGAGATGCTAACTGTGTGCGACACATCGGGAGATTAAATGAATCAGTTGCATTTAAAGAGCTGAGTTGCAAGAGAAGACCACTACAGACCACCTGGGTCTGACTGATGATGGTCTCCGTACATTATCAGCTCGAGTCTGTTTCGTTTCTTAATGTCAACAGTAGAAATACGTGAAGCGCATCTTACCGGGCAGTTTGAGGGCACGCGACAGAGCTGCAGCCATTTCTCCGCTAACGGGTCCGCGAGGTAGCGACGTGAAGCAGCGGTGATGAAGAGCTGTAGGGCACCGACCCAGCAGGTTGGATCTGCGCTTGCCCAACTGTATGCTGGGAATTGTAGTTTTTTCCCCCCCGTCGTGCTCCACGACCAAAGTTTTTCTTGTGTGATTCTCGTGTACAATACCGACTACCGAAGTATAGTATAATATGAATATATTTAAAATGAATGAATTCTGCATCAAATAGATTTTTAAAACTTTATAGTATTTAGAGTTGAAAATATGTGATATCGTTGAACGCATTTCTGCTAATTTTGCTGTTTAGGTGTGTCTATGACAGAGATACATCCATCATTGAGCTTAACATTCAGGTGTATTTCTTTATAGTGCTTTGTTTTTAACATGTTTGGGGTTCGGGGAAGGTCCTAGTCCTGCGAGGCATCTCGCAAAGTAGGCGAGTCACCTCAACAGGCAGACCTATGCCCTTTCAAAAATTCATCTCGCTATATGAACGAGGACACGGGCGTCACCCCGCGTCGTTATTTTCCTTACTCATCAGTTTAAGGCATAACCTATTGACTATCGAGAACGAGAATAGTCACAGTGTCCAGGAATTCTTTGTTAGGGTGTCTGATGTGTCTCATTGGCAGCAATTTATTTTAGCGTATACCAACAGTTATATCTGTAATTAAAGAATAATTTGTGAAATTAAAATGTTACACTGTGTTTTACTGATGGCAAACTACTATTTTGGCGATAAACCTTGCTTATCTGATGGGACAATTTGGCGCAAAGGCTCATGGGTACCATAGCATCGACGTTGTTTGTGTTATGACAAGAGTAATCGATGTCAGATTGTTTATTTTGAACGGGTCAGTGGTTACGTTTTGTCGTTGTAGTCTGTGGTTCAGCACTACTGTAACATTCACTCTTAACTGTGAAGTACATTTTCAACCAACACATTTCATTGAAACAAATCACTTTCTCGCCAGTTCCCGACAGCCATTTTGGTATTCTGGTCCGAATCAGCTTCCGTAGTCCTACATAAGGAGTTACCATCTGCGCATGCGCTTTGAGGCAGTGCGAGAAAATGGCAGACGTTTCGTTGGATGAAGTGATACGACGGCGCGGTATTAACCTCAAGGCTACAGCTAAACGGTATTAAGACTACTCATGCACCGATGAATGTTCGCTTATTTAGACCGTGGTAACTCGTAGTAACATTTTTGAAAGCATAACGAGGATTGAGAGTTGTTGATAGCTGGTTGGTAACGGTAAGCTAACGTTAGCCCATTACGGCCAGCAGCTTCTCACCAGCTACATCGTAAATGCTAGGCTAAGTAGCTGACATTACAGGCCTTTAAGTCTGTAACCATTCAGTTTTTAAATTTGAAATATGTGGGTAACTTATTCAACTATATCCCGTTTTAGGCAAACAAATTTGTAGTAGTCGCGACAACTCGTAAGTTGAAGAGCTGTAACCCGTTTGCCTGTATTTGTAGCTTCATATGTCGGGCTTGGCTAACCAGTAAGCTAATATTTACGTTGGCAGCAAAATAGGTTTCGCTCCCAGTTATTGATCGGATGTGGTCACTGAAAGTACTGGGATGAATTAGGATGTTGGTTTGTCCAAATTCACATTTAAAATGTATTAGTATTGTCCCGCCTCCATTGTGTTAAAAAGTAGAGGAGAGGTTTTATTCTCTTGTAAGTATCAGAACCCAGTGCGTCAGTCTCTTGATGCACCCCACCCCCCTGCAGCGTAAAAAATAGAAATAATTAATAAAGTAATGAACTGAACTACAGTATTGCACGTGTTGCAGTCAAAATTAACATTTTAATGAGCTTTTAGGATTTTAAATTGTGAAAAGGAGCACTGTTTACACAGTCGTAATGGGGTGTTGAAATACCAATGTTGAATCGTTTTTCTTTCTCTCAGACCCATGTTTGGACGGGGTTCAGGGGCTGCAGGAGGCACAGGGGGTGCAGGAGGCACTGGTAAGAGTTTTGATGCCAGGCAGAAGATTGGAGTTAATGACGCAAGGCAGCGACTTGGAGGAGGAACAGGTAAGCTATTATTGTATGAAAAAATAAAAATGGTATGGTTTGGGGACTGTAATAGAAAAATCATATGCACTTCTCTTTCCTCCCATGTATAATCCTTATTTGGAACTGTCTTCACATTTACACTCCCTATCCGGTACTGTCTGGTACAAACTTAGGGGCCCTTGACCTTGAGCACACAGCTGCTTCTTTTTGACAGTTAGACAGTTTTGATAGAATCCATAATTGTTCACACCCACACATTCTGACCATGCCTCCTCCTTCTCTCTTCCTATTAAGTTCATGTACGCTCTTTGTTCAGTATCAGTCTGCAGTTGCAGTCTGTGTGACTGTATGCGGATCCTTTGCAAAGCTCTTTTCAAAATATATAAAGACAACTTGATCATTTTGTTAACATTTCATTTTCTGATTTCCATCACAGGGACTAAAACTAAGTTTGCCATCAATACCCTGTGTCCCCTCAGGTTTTCAAGTGAAAGATGCCAGAGAAAAGCTGGGACAGAAAGATGCTCGCTTCAAAATCCGTGGCAGGGGAGGAGCAGGAGGAGTGCAGGATGCCCGTCAGATGATCAACTCACGCAAACAGGGGCAGAATCCTTTCAGTGTCCCCCCACAGACCACGCAAAAGACGGCAGTAACACACCAATTACAAGGCCCTACACTTGTGCCACAGATACACATAAACACCAACAACAATCCTGGCGGTGTGAACAGCAGGCAGTTTACCCCTAATGTACAAGGACTGAGTCTGAGGGGCAGTGCAACGCCACAGCTGAGCAGTAATAAGAGAATGATGGATGCTCGTGATAGGCTGAGCCTGAAGAGGAGCATTGGAGGGACACAGACACAGGCGGCTGCTGTCCCACCCTTAAAAATAACCAAGACCATACAGGTTAGGATAAAATACGTTGCTTTGTTTGTGATAGATCAGTGACATATCCTATATGTATTTGTTTATTGGATTATATAAGTATATTGTCAGGCTTACTAATGTATGATGATTCCTTTCACAGCAACGTCCGGTTGGGATGTCGGGTGGCATACGTGCAGCTTCACAGGTAGAGCTGTTTTTCTTGGCATGTTTGAACAGGAAAGATTGAGAGTAATTCTTGTGTTTACGAGAATAGCTGTATAATGACTAACGGCATAAAACCTGGTACTAAATATATTATTTTGTCTCCCATAGCCTGTCTCAAATGAGCATGATGGCACCTCCACTAAACAAATAAAGATTACCACTGCAAACAATATGCTACAATCACGTGTAAGAGCTGCCTAAGGACTTAACACATACTTCAACTTTAACTACATATCAATTGTTACATTCCCACATTAAATTAAACTTTTCCTTTCCATTCCTGTATTTCATACAGTCTGGTACAATAGGCTCCACATTCTCCATGTCAGCCCCAATTACCAAGGTGGTTAAAAATGATGCTTACACAGCCCCACGTCCTCCTGTCCCCGTGGCTCCAACCCGGCCCAGCACCAGCATGGCTGCCAACCGGTCCTCAGCCGCAGCCTTACAGCCAGTCTCCAGGACCCTCCAGCAAAACGCAGCAGAAACCAGCACAACGGCTCCTACTCCCCCTCAGGTAAACATCTCATCACTCATAATGCACAACAAGTCCTTCCTTTGTTGCTTGTCTCCACCTTAAATTATTATTCAGTGTGATTCACATTTCCACTGGATACAATGGGTCAGTAACATTTCTAATTTAGGTCATTAAGACGAACCAACCAAGGTCAGCCATTTTTAATTGCATATGCTTTATCATGTGTTGTCATATTTCTCTCTAGCCTGCTTTCAGTCCTTTGGAGGGGACAAAAATAACAGTGAACAACCTGCATCCCCGTGTCACAGAGGAAGATATAGTTGTGAGTGAATTGCGCTGTTTGCCTATAACCTTTGGTCATGTTTGATATTCATTGATGCACAGAATGCCATTGTTCCACAATGACTCATCCGGTGTGTGTTTGCACTCTCCATATATTTCTCCACAGGAACTGTTCTGTGTGTGCGGTGCCTTGAAGCGAGCACGGCTGGTGAGGGTGGGTGTGGCTGAAGTGGTGTTTGTCCGTAAAGAGGACGCTGTGAGCGCGTACAGGAAGTACAACAATCGCTGCCTGGATGGTGAGTGCCAGTAGCAAGGACGCACACAACAAATGGATTCCTGGGTTTTGGGCACTGTCTTCTGTTCTGCATAGAGATTAATAACTACAGTACAGATGACAAGTTTTGCTGGTTGAGGGCATCTTTCTATGTTTATTGAAGTGTTTTTGTTGAACTGAACGATGGCCCGGTCGGTCAGACCTTGTATTTCTGAGACTGCCACTAACCAGAGTGATGAAGTTGCGGCGTTTCTGTGTATCATTGTTTTCTTTTCTTATCTTTTCCTCTTGTCCACCCCCAGGCCAACCCATGAAGTGTAACCTTCATATTCAGGGAAATGTCATCACATCTGATCAGCCCATTCTATTGTAAGTGAGCCTGCAGGGCTTCATTCCTTCATTTCAAATTAATCTGTAGTTGACTGTGTTTACATGCACATACTTTATTTGCATAATTTCACTGAGTGACCACAATTTATGTCTCCACTATTTTTAAGAATAAAGATCTGTGATATTGCTTGTATGCAACTGCATATACGCAAGCAGTGACTATCAAGACATTTGTTCATTATCTTATTCGAAGTAGTGTTTGTGAAATGTGTTTAGGTGATTAGCAAGCTAGTTAGTGGTACAATGAGTTGCTGTTGTAGCTTATGTAGAAGCTTTTATTGAAGCTTGATAGAGGGGAGTAGAGATCAGCAATACAAGTTTACACTGTCACGCCATGATTCTGAAGATGATGTTCTTTGCAGGGGATATTTAAACCCACACAAAACTTAACAATATGTCCAAATAAGGATATTCCTTCATGGGACCACAGCACCTCTCCACACATACCTGTAATATTTCATGCAATACCTGTGTTCTCCCCAGGGGAACACTGTGTATCTCGTAACGCCGAAGGGCACCGGTATTATGACCGTCCACTCCCCTGACCCGAGGCTCGGTCCATTATATCTGTGCAACCTTGGTCGCTATGACAACTGCTATTTGGAACTGGGTCAGCTTGAGTCAATTAGTGTCTTCACAGCTTTCCCTGAGACAGATAATGAACTATTGCTTGTAGGGTTGCTAAGTGACCTGTGTAAACACTGCCTAACACTACCTGAAGAAGTTTGGTGGCAGTAGCTGTTGCTGTATTTGTGGCTTGCACTATCCACTAGAGTATCAGAAATCATACTTTTTTTTAACAGTTACTATTTGAAAAATGGATAAAATGAATTAAGCAGAATTAAGAAGATTATTATCCCTTTTGTGTTATCGAGGAAATGTGACACCCCTTTCTCTTCTTGGCTCCTGCAGGAGGCTCAGTGACACTCCAGGCACAGGCGGCGGTGCAAAGAAAGACGGTCTGCCCCCCTCCTTGTCTCGCCCCGCCGGTCAACGAGCCTCTTCTCAGCCTACTCCAGAGGTGGACCCCCAGACCATCCTCAAAGCTCTGTTCAAGTCCACTGCACAGTCCACCTCCACCACTGAGCCCCCCAGCTCACAGGCTACAGCCTTCCGCATCAAGATATAACTCATGTCTAGTGTAAATACACTGTCTGTTCATAAACATATTACTGCATTCTCAGTGTTAACATACGAACTGTGGTTTTCACCTTGACGGCAGGCAGCCTTCATTCTCATATAAAACTGATTTTTACACATTTGATATACATGACTACTCTGAACTTGAAATTCATGGATATCAACATCCTGTTTTTGTGGTATCCAAGTGTCACCTGTTTGATTCTGAGATGGACCAGTAGAAAGGAATGTGATGCGATTTGTTGTTTTAATCCGATGTGGTGGGGGATGCCAAATCAAGACTGGAATTGTAGTGATTTTTTTTTTTTTTGTCAATTCAATGCCAGTGCATCTGAATATGTCGAGTTTTTTAAATACTCCAGTTTAACTGTTATCAACCCTCATGTCCCGAAAAAGAAGAGGCAAAAAAAAACCAACAACAAAGAGCAGCATTATGTTTAAGGGCCTGTACATCCACACAGGTGTGTTCAGTTATATTGCCTAGTGGTGAAGACACGATAGACATTAAACGGAGCGTAGACCAAACAACACTAAAGGAAACAACATAATTCAGTAGCTGCCATATCTGTCATATTACGCCGGACGATGAAGTTCCCTTCAGTAAATCCTCGGCACAATGCAGCTAAACTGAGAAGAGGTCTTGCTCGGCAAAATAACTGAAAACTACTTGTGTGAGTAAATGGGGGATGGACAGAAACTATAATACCCTAATTACAGTAAACCAGTTCTCAAACAGTCATATTATGTCGATGTTTCATTTGGTTTTACCATGTTTGTGGACTCCAGATTCTTGTGTGCTCTGTTTGTGGCTGATTTTACTTGATTGTCCCATTTTTGAAACGGTATACATTTAATTCTTTCTAGTATACATTACTCTCAATTTATGTTCAAGGACTGTAAATTACTTTCTGTTGCTTTCTTGGTATGTCAGTCAAGAAGAGAGTAGAGAGGTCAGATGTGTCTGTGAAATGTCACCATTAAATATTTAGCTTTGTAGATGTTGTCTGAGACTCATCTTTCCTGTCTGCCATCTGATGATAACACATCTAAACTCTGTGTGTGTGTGTGTGTGTGTGTGTATTCTCAAGTACTATCACAGTTTTTAGCATTACTTTAAACTAACTTTAGCCATTTCATTTAATTTAAACTGTTAGCTGCAGAGGAAATTTTCTTTTCGTCATGAAACTAAGATATTACGTATTTACTGAAACCCAACAGCTAAAAGTTCTATAATAATAATTTTACCTAAAAAAACAAACTATATAATTAAACGCCTAAATATGATTAACGTAATGGTTTGTGTGGAAAAATGGTAATATACCGTAGTCCTGTTTGGTTTGGAATTAATGTAGTGTAAACTAATAATTATAAATATATAAAATATATCTTTTAGACTGTTTGAAATGTCACTTGTTTGAAAAAAGAAAGAATATACATATATAAAACAAAGGAAATAAAAGCATTTAAATCCCGTGTTTTTTCACGTTTTATTTGTACTTCCGGTGTGAAAGGTCTTCCCAAAATGGCGCCGGCCAAGAAGAAACATGCCAGTAGCCAGCCTTGTGTTATTCCTGGAGGATTTACAGGTATTCTTTGACTGAATTAAGAATATTTATTTCAGCTTTTCGCCTGCATACAGGCGTATGTCATTTGACACGGTTTGTTTCGGTTATTGATCCGTAGCTCGGAGGGCGGGGAATCGCTTGGTGATCACAGATGTGCTGCGTGATGTGTTGGTGGCTTCAGGGTTTTATTTCTGTGTCTCTTCGCAGTGCTGCCCTTACAGTTTAGTTCCGACAGTGCGGCTCAACATAAAGTGTATGTGAAAGAGCACCGAGTGCGAGCTGAGAAGAGCTCACACAGACCGCTGGACCGGACTTTATTTGTCCTCAACATCCCCCCTTACTGCTCACAGGTACCGTTCATGTAGCCTGTCACTCACTCGGTGTCTGTCGTGTCTACATGATCTAATAATTATCTCCTAATAATTTTCCCATCGTTGCCGCCCTGCGGTTTGTCTTCCAGGCTGTTGTCAGAGAGTTGTTCTCGCAGTTCGGCAGTGTTCAGTCCGTGGAGCTCGGAGACCACCCGGGCTCCTTCCAGGAGTCTGGACCCAAGCTGTCCAAGTTCTTCAAACCAGCTGAGAAAAAGGTTGGCCTGCATCCGCACCGCTGGGTTCTTCCTGCTGTGACACTACGAGCAAACATCCACACTGCTTGTGCAGTCATTATTTTTTTACCTCTCGTGTCTCTGTCTGTCTCTTCCAAGGGTTTCAAAGTCGGCTACGTCGTGTTCCACAACTCCTCCAGTTTATCTGCAGCTAAATCACACCCACATAATGTGCCTCTGGTGGTCTGCACAGAGCAGCGTGCAGTGAAGACAGGAGTGCAGAGTGAGTGCTTCACTGTTTTATTAGTGCTCATTTCATTTCTTATTGTGGTTTTGCTTTGCTTTAACTCTTGAGCATATTCAAAGTAAAACAAAATCACTCTTGTGACTCATGCATGTTACGTGACAAATTTTCTTACACCAGAATGGATCCAGCAGTACACAGACTCGTTCATCCAGCCGGACAAACTGCAACAAATAGTCAACTCCTTCATGGAAGACTACGACAAGCGGAAAGAAGAGGTGAGGATCTTGCAGTTCTTCCTCCAGCATCGCCCCGTCCGTCTTGTCCACACGACTTCAACCTGGGCGTGTTTGTTTTGTCACAGGAAGCGGAGCAGCAGAGGAAGGAGGCTGAGCAGCAGCAAGAGGATGAGGAGGGCTGGGTGAAAGTCACCAGAGGGGCCAAGGGCGCCAAGGCCCGTCCTCACAGTGAGGCAGCCAACAAGAGAACTCTACAGAAAGAGATGAGGAAGAAGAAGAGGAAGGAGCTCATGAACTTCTACACCTGGCAGCATAAAAACACACAGAAAGAACGTAAGTTGCTTATATTGAAGTGGTATTACTGAGCTAATGTAAACATATTTAGGATAACTACTTATTCTTTCCTGCATCAAGAGGCTAGAATTTGTTTTGTGAAGGAGATGAAAATGTCTTTAAACAGAGTGTATTTCCTTGTGATGGTTAACTATATTGTATGTTTGTTTGTTTTTTATTCAGATATCGCTGAACTAAGGAAGAAGTTTGAGGAGGATAAACAGAGAATTGCTTTGCTGAGAGCACAGAGAAAGTTCAGACCTTACTGAGTCGTCTACTTCAAATTTTTATTTGCTCATGTCACTGCTTTTTTTTGTGTTTTCTCTACCTTTTTATATAAAGGAGTATTTTTGTGTTGATAAACTATTATTCTGATGAACTCAGTTTCATGATTATTGAATTATCTGCACCTCAGAGGAGATTAAATACATTTGGGAAATCGCTGACGTGGATTCCCAGCAAATGTTTGATTAAAAAGGTGAAATGCAAAGTACGATGTCAAATACAAAATCTTCTTAAGGAATCATTAAACTAGCTTTGGAACTATTCTGAACCACAACTATGACCTCAGGTGATCACACCAGTCTCTGGTGAAAGGTGAAATTATTTATTACATTGTTGACCGTCAGCTTGTGCGTCACAAACTTGCTGCGCTTCCGTCTTCTGACACTTTGTGACCCTGGACCGCACGGCGAGGAGCAGGATCAGCAGCAGGGCGACACCAACACCTATGAGGGTGTACAGCGTCACCTGGAACACTGAGGAAGAGGAGGGATTTATATTGGGAGTTTTGCCTTTGGTCATTCACATTGTGACTGAGTTTTGTGCTGAGCAGGACTTACTTGTGCTCTGTTTCACACATGGATTATCTTCCAGTCCAGTGTCGTTCTGTCCCAGCAGCAGCGGCCCTAAGGACACCAAGTGGACCTGGTCAGACTCGGATGTGGTCTCTCTTCTCTGTCTCTCACCCTCGGCTGCTGTGAGAGGAGACGGGAAAGATTAACAGGTACACACATGCACAGTACATGTAGTGCACGAGGTGAAACATGATATACTCACAAATGATGGCGCAGCTCTGTGCACAGTCGAGATAATCCGTGCAGATTTCCACCCAACAGTAGAAGTACATCTGAGTGAGAGATTACACAGTTAACAAGCTGCTACAGAAGCTTTAGTGTTTAGTTACTGAGGAAAGACACACTCCTGTATTAATGAAACCTTACTTCCTCCATACTTGGATGGTCTGTATCAGGGTCTAAGAAGGCGAAGATCTTGACATCAAACCTCCTCACTTGGGAGTGGGAGGTGGTCTTCCCCTGGTGGTCCACAGGGACAGAGCTTCTCATGTTATCCAGAGGGTTTGGGCATCTGTCCAGGAGGAGAAAATTAAACTGTCAGCTGCACAGAGAACCTTTAGGTAACCACTATAATTACCTCCACCTTACCCGTCATAGAGAAGCGTCCACACTGAGTGTCTGGACGCAGGGTAGGCAAAGCAGTCCCGTACACGCAGGGAAAGCGAGGGGTCAGGGGACGGCTGAGCGATGGAAACTTCCACGTATGCAGCTTTGCGCAGGGGCAAGCTCAGTGGAAGCTGGTCCTCAGGAAAGAAGGATGTGAAGGAAGCATCTAGAGCAATAATCACAAATACAGTCACTAAGGTTTTGTTCTAAGGACCCAACGTGAGCAAATCTGCACTTGTGTGACTTAAGTATACACCAAACAAACCCATTTCATCACCTGTGGCTATTTTCATCTGCACTCTGATGGTTCCCAGGGCAACAACAGGAGGCGGGTTTGTCACAGCGTACAAGGAGCGCAGGTCGGCTGCACGCCTTAGATCTGACGGTGTATATTCACACAGGACCTGGAGGCTGAAACCCCGCCTTGATCAGTACATGTACCATCACTATAGTATGAATGCAGCTGTGAGAAATAATCCCCCAGTTTTATACAGCACAGCGCAGAAGATGTCAACACTGACCTAAATGGAGGATGTTTGGTCATACTTGCAGGATGCAGCTCCTCCACTTCCACCTCGTAGATCACAACATCTCCATCGACCTAAAAGGCCGAACAGATGAGTCATGGTGGAACAGAGAAACAGCATTTCAGTGAGACATTGAGAATATGTATCTATACAGAATATGGATTAAGATATTTTTTCTTGTGACTCTTGCATGGCTTTTACAGTGACCCCTCATGTGGGTGATATTTTATTCAAATACTATGAATATTATTATGAAATCAACCCCTGGACACGCAGCCTCTCACCTTCTTCTTTGCACCACAGTCCATGACTCCAATCTTGAAGACAGCCGTGTCTGGCGTGGTGACCACAGGGAAACACTGCGGCTGATCCTTCACTATGAGGCTGCTGGGAGTGATGGGCGGGTCTGTGTCTGCGGCCTTTACCGAGAACACAAAATGTCCGTCCAGAGAGCAGGCTGGAAGGTGTGTTAGACAGGAAAATGCAGAAAACAAGCAACTTGACCAATATGTTCTGATCTGTAGAAAAGGTTCGGGGGAAATGGCAATCTTACCATTGAGTCTATAGTAGCAGGTGAGATCATGAGCATCATAGCAGCAACCTAGTTTGTAGCAGGCGTCACTAGAAATGGTTTTGTGACCACAGTCCACCCTCAGAGCTCTTCCTGTGTCACACTGTCCAGGTAACGCTGGAGAAGAGCCGTGTTAGTGTGGAAGAAAGAAGAGGATCAAATGGTTGATTTATCATTTAAATACCAAACAATGTGGAGATGAAGTTATTAGTTAACCACTTGTTCAGTCTTGAGTTTCTCCCGTGACACTGAATGCATCATTAGCAGTAAATGTGTTGAAGAGGGTTACTCTGACTCTGTGTTGTTGGGACAAGGAATGATTATACCTGCCAACTCTGTGTGAGTCTTGTCCCCTTATTGATCAATAAATTAATCTTCACTCAAGTTTTAACTGATGAAACTGGTGAAAACTCAGATATAGACGACGTAACTGTGTCAATGAGCATGTTAGCGCCCAGTCAGCTGCCTCCACTCACGTGTCGGGAGAGGTGCGGTCCTCTCGCTGTGTCTCTTTATCAGAGGACAGCTGATATTCACCCTGAGCCACTGATCCTGTCCTGTCAGCTGGACCTGCAGAGGAACGACCACTCCGCTGTTCTGAGGGTCAAAGGTCAACACAACATGCATGTTAAGAAGCCATATACGCCATTTGTGGATTTGCATACACACACAAACAAACACACAGTGTACATCTGTATTTTGCATTTCCACTATTTCATACGTTGCAAATAATATTAATCATTTTTACAATCCCATGGGTTAATGCGTCAGTACAAACTGTTTACACACATCTACAAAAAGATAAAGAAATCACTCACTACCTTAAGTGTTCACCTGCTTGCACCTTCCTAGTTATGTGTGTGTGTGTCATGTTTTACCTTCCCCTGAGGATTCTGACACTGATATTTAATTCTCGCACAAACAGTTATTTTACCTCAACCTGAGCATAGCAGCTGTCATATCTGCTGATGAAGGAGAGGCTGTTGTTTTTCTCTCTGCCTATTCTCACTCCACAGACCTCCTCCTCAGGCTGTTGCACCGGCACTGTGGCCCCTGACAGATCTGAGGACACAACAAAGCGCACACAGCCGTGCTGGATTCACTGCAAACAGTCAGAGCCACCATCCCTCTCATCCACCTTACCTCGAACACGTATATTTTTGACAAGCGGGCCAAACACTGCCTTGATCCTTCGGGCAGAGCAGGTGACTCTGGGCAGCGCGAGCTCAGGTGTTTTCTTCCTCTGCACGGCTGTGAGGCAGCAGCAGCGCTGAGCCAGGAGGGCAAACACTGCAGGAATCAAACAAAGCTTGACACAATCATAAGCCATCTCCTCGTGGTTTGGGTGTTTTTGCTGATATGTGTTGAGATCTTGAAGTATCCACTCTTTTCTTTTGACACGGGGGGGGGGGGGGGTCACGTGATATAAGTGTTAATTAGCGTTGATTAGTCTGGAGCTTGCTGCGTCCTCAGGCGAAGCAGCTCCACCACCGTGAAGGTGGGCGCGTGTTGTGGATAAGGTGAAATAAAGTCACGGACCTGCTCAGCCGCATCCACCTGAGAGTGTCTGGGTTAAAGTTGATTTGAAAAGGAAGACAGAGTGAGATGGTAATTAATTAAAAAAAAAAAAAGAAGAAGAGTCAACTTTTAAATAATGCATCTCATCCTGAGCACATGCATTGCTTAATGTATCCACAGGGAGCCACATGAAATCATTGCGTAACTCAAAGGCTTTGCCAACCTGACCCCCCCCCCCCCCGGTCCCCCCCTCCCGCCCCTCCCACACACACACACACACACACACACACACAGACAGACTTTCACCTGCTTTATAACTCGCATCATTTCATCTGACGTGGGAACGAGGTGGTTTCAGTCAAATTAAGAGTAGTTGTCTTTGCCTTAAAGAAACATGCATGAATGTCTGTACAACTGCGATGCCACAGGACACAGAAAACATAGGACTTGTTAGAGAGCGTGGGGATATAGAGGTATAGCTTTATTGCAGATCAACTTCTGTAAGTGCATGAACATGTGTGTATATATGTGTTGCTGTGGTTGTGGAGACAAATTTGTGTTTGAAACCATCAGTGTGAGGTTATTTTGACGAGTCGTGACAGCTTCAAAAGGCTCTTTGAGGGACACCTGCAGTGACTGAGGTCAGTGTCAGGATAAGTCTCTATGACATAATTGAAACTGAAAGTAGATGCAGAGTGTGCAGATGGAAACGTGAGGAGTGACATACGCGCACCAAGCAGCAGGAACATTCAAAAGTTCTACAGGAATTTTCAGGTACTTTTAATGTCATCCTCTACTGACGAAATCTTCCGTAATTGTGTCATCAGTTCTGCTCTTTCTTGTTCAACTTCTTGCATGATATAAAAATCTGCTCCACTGAACGCAGCGCAGTCACCTGGGTTTTTAATTAAGTGCAGCATCGGCTGATGAAGAACGAGCTCACAAACGTCAACATACATTTGCACTTAGCACAAAATAGGACAATGAAATTAGGCAATTACCCTCTAAACTGGCATTTTTCATTATACAACGTGAAAAACTGCAGCAGAATTACACTTCATGCACGAACCCAACTGTTGGATTAATTCAAACATTTAAGCGTGACCAAAAACATTGAGTAATAAACTACAGTAAAAGAACAAATGATCTATGGCAGGGTCAGTGATTAGCTTCAACCCCCCCCCCCAGCATTGTGAAACAAAGGGCCAAAATAGATTTACAGAACCAAAACCTGTATGACTGGTTCATTTTTATTTATTTTCTTTCGTTTTTTATTTTTAGGTATTTTTATTTATTTATGGGTAAAGCAGTGAGTGAACAAAACAGGAGTCACTCTGAGGGCAGATATTATTTACTTTTTTATTATTAATCATTATTGTAATTAATATGTTATCCACACACAATAACTAGGGCCTGATTCAGGATCTTTTGTATTGTATTTGCCTTGGAAAAAAAACAACCCAGCGTGCCTGTTTGTGATGCAAATCATTTCTTATCATGGCTCCATGTTACAAGGCTACATTTACTGGGACTCGCTTGAGCCGTGTATTTACATTGTTATCTACAGTACATTCGTGAAGATATGGATTTGCCTATCACTGATCTACGGTCTCTACGTGTCTATTGAAATAAATACTCAAATAAAATACATCTTAAGTCCCAGAAATTCACTAGAAGCGTACATTTCTTCCATAAGATTGAAGTTCGCCTCTTAAACTGTCGGAGGAATGCAGAATAAAATCAGATTTTATGAGCAACCACGAACAATGTAAGATCTCCCTATTATTTACAGTGGAGCTGCGTCCCGCCTGTGTAGAACAATCATCTCCTCCATATTCGCGCTAGTCTGTCAGGTGGGCGTGTTCCAGCTCTGCCATTGGTCAAACGCTGTTCCCTTTCCTCCCCGGCTTCCGGTTTCTTTTCATACGCACGCCCAGCCACTGAATAATGATAATAATGATCAAGATGGCTACTACAGAATACTCCTTGCGGTAGCTAACCACCGATTTCATGGAAGCTCTCCAAACTGCTATTTCTCACTTTTTAAGTCCCTCGTAGGTGACGGGGGCCGTGCCAGGGATTATACTATATGGATTAAAACGGGCTGAGAAGCGATAAAAGTGGTTGTGTTGTCTGCAGCACTCATTCTGAGGAAGCTAGCTAGCACAGCAACTAGCTAGCTGTACTTGTCGACCATCTCCAGGTTTAGCTCTACAGCCAGCGGCAGAGGAGCGTGGCGCTGCCCGTTTTGAGTGCCCGGTCGTCGGACGGAGAGCGTCAAATGGCAGAGCCGAGGAAAGTGCCGTTCGTCACCATCTCAACCTTCAACACCTCACCGCCGACCCCGGAGTCCAGCAAGAAGCGCCGCCGCGAAGATGAGGCCATCGACATCACTTTTGAGAAAGATGGAGGTGGAAGTGCCGCCGCGGTGGGGTCAGGAGGTGGCGGAGGTTTGTTTGGTCACACGAAAGGAGGCGACGCCGAGACCGAGGAGACGAAACCCACCGTCCGCCTCAACCTCCCGCTGACCGAGCCGAATGAACGAGGGTCCGCCGAGTTCAACTACGGCGAGCTGGTCAACTCAACTCTTACTCAGGTTAGGAGAGAGAGGAGACAGTAGGCACCATGATCTGAGCAAGAGGGGCCTATTCTGGCACCAGTTCAGGAGAGGCGCACTGTTTTGGCTGTGAGGCTGAGATGTGACACTTGTTACTGATGTTACTGACTAAAGAGTGTTAATTTGCACATGATTTCTTATGCTTAGTTTTAATGTTAATTATGACCCTTGGCTAAAGTTTGGACAGGTAAATTAAGGCAGGAAAGGAATTAATGCTGAGGATGAAAAGTTTAGTATTCATATCACTGCCTTAAAACTGTAGACTTGTGTGTGTGACAGAAAATTGTTATAGCAGAGACTGTGATATCCTGAGTTTTAGTCCTTACTGAGAGTGAAACTACGGAAACACCAGGTCCCCCTCTTCTATGTGACTCTTCCTGTCTGGTTAACTGCCTGCTCAATGCTGCGTTCATGTCACATGGGATGGGTGGTAGAAAAGGGAAAAATCTCCATGTTTACAACAAGCGTTCACATCAACTGAGCTGGTTGAGTGAGGATTTAAAATAATACCATATTTATATTGACAGTCTAACACTATTTTAATTAATCCCCTTGCACAATGGACTTTGGCTGATGTGAGGTGTCCCTGTTTGTTTGATCTTCGGGTACTTCTGTGTTTTGAAGCACTGAGTTGGATCTCAGTTGTAATTACGACCTGGATGTTGATGTTAACACTACTTACAAGTCTGAATCTTGTTTTTATGATTATTCCAATATGACATGAATGCGTCATAATGCCCACATCTGTCAAACTCCATGTCCTTGGTTTGTAATGCAGACTTTCCGTTCTAAGTTTCATGTTTCAAGCTTAACCAGATACAACCCCTAATGACATTTTCTCAGATTTCAAATTGCTGCATTCAGAGCCACAGGAGACATTATACAACTGTTTCCTCAGTCTGAGTTGTGATGAGCATGCTAAGAAAACCTGGCTGATGAGGTTCATAGCTGTTTGTGTGAAATGGCACTCTATGAAGGAAAACATCAAAAGCCTCTTTGCTTCTGTTTCACCCCGATCCAATTTCCCTGTTTACATCAGGTAAAGCATGCAGGTTCCACAGTCCCTAAAGGACTCGCTCCTCCCCTGGACCCCACCGACCCCTTTGCTGATGATGAGAAGGAGAGACGGGAGGTGGAAGAGCTGGCCAAGAAATTCGAGAACAAATATGTAAGTGTTGTATCTGAATATATTGTTACAGCTGCAACTGTCTGGATGTTGTGACTGCCATGGCTGCCACATCCCTGGTTTTTGATCCCTGCGTTTCCCTTCTGTTTGCAGGGTGGAAACTCTAAGAAGAAGAAAAAGGACAGGATGCAAGATCTCATTGATATCGGATATGGCTATGACGAGACTGACCCCTTCATAGACAATTCAGAGGCTGTGAGTTCTCTTTTTACAAAAACACACACAAAGTTAATTAGCAATTAGCCCCGACTTTATTAATTAAAATGAAAAATTATTATCCAGATTGTGTGCCCCTACAAACATCTTGAGTTTAAATTTTGTTTTGCAAAAATCTGTAATTTGTTCACATGCTGTTGATCTTATAACAGCTGAATAGCATTTCATTTACAACATCGCACGTTGCGTCCCGGGTAGCAGAAGAAAACTAACAGTAATTGTACTTCCCTCCTGACCTCAGTATGATGAGCTGGTACCGGCCTCTCTCACCACAAAACATGGCGGCTTCTACATCAACACAGGCACTCTGCAGTTCAGAGCAGCGTCTGACTCTGAGGGAGAGAACGCAGGCGCCGAGGATAATCACTTCAAGGTAGGTTCTCGCTTCTCTGCACAATCCATTGAAAATAAAAGCACCTAAATATACAGGCAGATTATACATAAACTTTCAAGTATGTCAGTGTTAAAACTGTTTCTTTAATGAAAACTGCTTTTGTTATACTCTACTAATTACCTTCGTTTTTGCATCCATTTGTAGAAGATGAAAGATGGCGAAGAGCGAGTGATCAAAAAACGGCGGAAAAAGCAAGACGGGGTTCTGGAGGAGAAGAAACCCAAGAAGAATAAAGTACCAAAGCCTGGGTGAGCGTTTTATTATTACTTCAGTGTTTAATCTCAGACTCATTTCTCCAATATTATGATGAATAAAATGTTTTTTTATGTGTTATTTCCTCTTTTCTAAAGTGTGTGTGGGGATTCAGTTAAAGGTGCAGACTAATTCAGAGGTGTAACA